CTGCTGCTGCTGCTGCTGCTGCTGCTGCTGCTGCTGCTGCTGCTGCTGCTGCTGCTGCTGCTGCTGCTGCTGCTGCTGCTGCTTCTGCTGCTGCTGCTGCTTCTGCTGCTGCTGCTGCTGCTGCTGCTGCTACTGCTCCTCCTCCTCCTCCTCCTCCTCTCAAACCTTGTCAGGAGGGTTCATGGCCTTGAGCAAGAAGCTCTCAATGAATCCGAGGGACAAGGCCTTGATCTGCAAGCAGAGCTCCTCCAGCGGGGTTCGAAGGATCTCAGGAACTTGATATTCCTAAAGAAATGTCAGTCTCCTCCTCCTCCTCCTCCATATCCTCCTCCTCTCCCCTCCTCTCCTCTCCCTCTCCCTTCCCATTTCCATCCTCCTCCCATATCGAACTCGTTACCCCTTTGAAAGTGCATCCTCTCCTCTCCTCTCCTCTCCTCTCCTCTCCTTCACTTCTCCTCGCCGCTTATCCCCTCCCGTCCTCACCTCCATCTTCTCATGCACAGAGCTGGGATATAGCTTGTAACAAACTCCGTCCTGCCTGCATATCAGAGGAGGGGGCAAGGGGGAGGAGAGGAGGGAGGAAGAGGAAGAGGAAGAGGAAGAGGAAGAGGAAGAGGAAGAGGAAGAGGATTACTTGAATTCTTCCCGCTCGTCCCCTGGGTCAGGATTAGGAGGAAACAAGAGGAACGGGGCAGAGGACAGACCGTCGTTGCCTTGCTGCTGCTTGCGACGCCCATATGGGGAGGAGGCAGGCAAGGTCGTTGACAGGGTCATACGTTTTCTGGGAGACAAGGTGAGGAGAAGTAGAGGAGAGGGTTGTTGGGGAGCATGATGATGATGATGATGATGATGATGATGATGATGATGATGATGATGATGATGATGATGATGATGATGATGAGGGGCAGAAGGAGCAGGAGGAGCAGGAGGAGCAGGAGAACGAGGTTTATCACCTGCTTGACTTTCCCTGTGTCAACAACGAAGACAATGTCGTCGATTGTAATTGAAGTCTCAGCAATGTTGGTCGATAAGATCACCTGCAAGACAAAAAAATCAAGACAATTATAAGCCTCCTCTGCCTCCTCAATCCTCCCTCTTCTTTCATCTCCCTTCCCTGCCCTGCTCCTGCTCCTGCTCCTGCTCCTGCTCCTGCTCCTGCTCCTGCTCCTGCTCCTGCTCCTGCTCCTCCTCCTCCTGCTCCTCCTCCTCATCATCATCATCATCATCACCCCTCCTCCTCCCTCCTCCTCCTCAGCACCATTCTTACATTCTCTTCCTCCTAGCCCCCGGGCCCTCACCTTGCGGATTCCTGGAGGAGGACGATCGAAGATTTCGCGCTGGTTGACAGTTGGCATGGAGCCATGGAGGGGAAGCACGCGGACCCTCCTGCTGTCTCCGAGGATGCGACTTTCTTTAGACTTGTCCTGCCATGGAGCATGAAAAGGATGAAGGAGGGAGGGTGAGAGGGGTGCGGGGAGGAGGAGGAGGAGGATGACGATGAGGATGAGGACGAGGATGATGATGATGATGATGATGATGATGATGATGATGATGAGGAGGAGGAGGAGGAGGAGGAGGAGGAGGAGGAGGAGGAGGAGGAGGAGGAGGAGGAGGAGGAGGATATGAAGGACTTACCAGCAGCTTCGAGATCTCGTCCCATCCAGTGAGGAAGACGAGGACGGCACCGTCTCTCTGTCCCTCACAGATGAATTCGAGGGTAGACAAGACTGTAAGTGAAGGAAGTCAGAGGAGGAGGCGAGGCTGAAACACTGAAGGAGGATTGTTGGAGAGAGGTAGGAAAGAAGATGAAGAGGAGGATGAGAAGGATGCCGTAGAAAACGAGGAAGGGAAAGGAGAGGAGAAAGGGGAGGAAAAGAGAGAAGAGGGTGGGGAAGGAGGGAGAGGGAGAAGGCAAGGAGGAAGGAGGAAGGGGTAAGGAGGACGAAGGGGAGTGGGAGAAGGGAACCAGAATCCAAACAAAGATGGAACGGATGCAGCAACAAAGAGTAGAGAGCGAAGGAGGGGTAGGAGGGAGGTAGGAGGACGCTCCTTACCGACGTCAAGGTCCGTCTTGTCCGGGTCCCAGTTCAGCAGGTTTTGCTTCGTCCGGTTCGAGTACTTGGCATACCTCGTCGACAACTCCTCCTCCTGCAGACGCTCGATGCTGTTGACTGGAGCTGTCCCGCTGTTGGTGTTACTCGACTTCTCTCTCATCTTCGCCCTCTCCATCCGGAAGTTCCTGTCCTCCCTTCCTCCCTCCCGCTGTCCGCGGAGGCGATCTGCATGTTGGGGTTCTGCTCCAGGAGGTCCTCGAGGAACACATCCTGCACCGGGAACGTGAAGCCGGGGATGTGGAGGAGGGGACAGCCCGAGAAGTACTCTTGGAAGTGCTGAGCGTTCAGCGTCGCGCTCATCAGGACGATCTTGAGGGAGGGGTTGGCGCGCAGCAGGTCCTTGAGGATGATGAGGATGAAATCTTCGTTGATCCCTCGCTCGTGGATCTCGTCGACTATCACGTGCGAGACCCCCGAGAGCTCTGGGTCGACCACCAGCCGTCGCAGCAGCACCCCCTGTGAGCTCCGTCACCCCACTGGCAACCACCCATCCTCCCTCCTACATCCCCCATCCCTTCCTACCTCCATTCCCCCCTTCCTTCCCCCATGCCTGCCCCCTCCCCCCCGCCTGCCTTCCTCTTCCCCTTCCTCCCTGGTGTACTGCCAGAACCTCTCCCTCCCGTCCTCGTACTTGGCCTCTCCCTCCCGTCCTCGTACTTGGCCTCCTCCTCTGACTCACCGTCGTGCAGAACAAGAGCCTCGTTCGCTCGGATCGTTTCACTTCCAGTCTGATCTGATAGCCCACCGTGTCCCCCAACGTCTCGCACCTCTCGTTTGCCACCCTGTCAGCGACCGATATGGCGGAGATGCGGCGAGGTTGAGTGCAGATGATATTGCATTGCGATCCCAGCCCTTGGGCGTCCATATCGTCGAGGATGAACTGAGGCACCTGCGTCGTCTTCCCGCAGCCAGTCTCACCGCTCACGACGACGACGCGGGACGATCGGATCACGGACAGCACCTCCTCTCTCATGGAGAAGGACGGAAGCCGCTTCCTCCCCTCCATCATCTTCTTCATGTCCGACCTCGAGCTCCGCGCCTCGAGCTCCTCTCTCAGCTTGTTGTTGACGGCAGGGTCGTTGACGGGCTCGCGGCTGCCCTCCACCTTGCGGACCTGGGCCAACGTGTCAACCCATCACCTCAAGTCGCACATTGCAAGCATGCAATGATGTACTACTTTGCCTCTTCGGGCTCCGCACATCATTGCTCGCTTTCGCTTCACCTGTGACGACGGCACCTCCGAACATGCGGTAGAACCTCCTCCTTGCTTGTCAAAGTCATATTCACCGTCATCATCCCACGCGCCGTCGTCCTCTTCTCCTGCGTCGTCTCGGATGTTCTCCGGCCCTGCGGTCGAGATCTGCTGAAGGGCTCTCTCCACTGACGCCTTGGCTCTGTTCGACATGTCCACACTCTGCACTTGCGTCTTCTTCTCGAGCCTCTTGTCGAGATCAGGACGATAGTTGGGCAGAGGAGTCTTGCTCACGGCGACCACCTGTCACGTAAGGATGAGCAAGAGGACGAGAACAAAGGTCAGGAGGAGGAAGATCAGGAGTAAGAGAAAGAGGAGGAGGAGGAGGAGGAGGAGAGGACTGTTGAAATCAACATTAACGTCAACATTAACATCAACATCAACGTATCAGCTCCACAAGTGTCATATAGGAAGCAGGACCCGTCCACTCACCGTACTTCTCCCCTTCCCATACGTCTTGCTGTACAGCTGCAGCTCCTGCGCTACCTGGTGGACCAGGTCGACGCTACCCCGCGATATCTCATTGAAGATAATCTCTTTGCTCTGTCCCCCTTGCAACCCGGACAACTGGCGTCTGACGGTAGACTCGTCCATGTCCGGTACATTCCTATCCGAGCTCTCCCTCATCTCCTGCAGCTTCGCTCGTCTCCACTCTGGATCCCACCATCGCTGACCGCCCCCCCCCTTCCCCCTCCCCTTCCCCCTCCTCCTCCTCCTCCTCCTCTTCCTCGCATTTGAAATGTCCTCACGAGCCCAGGGCAGCCTCTACTGCAGCCTATAAGAGCAAGAAACAGTGAGAGGCAGACTTGGAGACACAGTGACGGCCTCCTTCGGGACCCGGGCATTCTACCCCAGCTCCTTCAGCTTTCATGGGATCCCTCTCCTACTCTCAGATCGCCACACCTGCTTGCTCCCGTTCACCGTTCTACAAGAAAAAGGCAAGGTCCTTGTCATGAATCATCCTTCTTTCGTCAAGTGCACAAAACTGCTGCTGCTGCTGCTGCTGCTCCAGTACTTCCTGTCCTCTTCCTCCTCCTCTTCCTGTTCTTCCCCTTGCTCCTGTTCCTGCTCCACATTCTAGCCCTCGCATCCAACAAATGCACCTGCCTCTTCTTTTCTGCCGTAACATGCGGTCCTTTTGCTTCACCTCGAATGAAGTTTCTGCTGCTGATGATGTTCAACCCTTTCCTCTCGCCCTCCCCGTCCTTTCTCTCCATCTCTCTCCTCCTCCTTCTCATCATCATCATCTCCTTGTCCTCGTCCTCGTCCTCGTCCTCCTTGTGCTCCTCCTCCTCCTCCTCCTCCTCCTCCTCCTCCTCCTCCTCCTCCTTCTCCTTACCATCATCGCCATCGTCACCAGGTACACGTGCATAGTCCAACTCTGCACCTCGTTCACTCCAAAGTCACCCACCCCTACTCAGATACTACCCCTACCACCTCTAGGATAATAAAATTTCCGTTATCCACCCCATAGATTTCACCCCTACCCCCAAGTGCTATCACGAGTATATGCGACTCTATGCCGCTCTCTGTCTGGGACTCCTGCGACTGGCGATGGCAACGGGGCCACCAGAGAGGTCAGAGGAGGAGGAGGAGGAGGAGGAGGAGGAGGAGAGGGGGAGGAGGGGGAGGAGGAGGAGGAGGACAAGAAGCAGAAGCAGAAAGAGGGAGGAGGAGGATACTGGAAGATTTGTTTCGCCCAGTCTGTTTCATGCTCTCTACTGCCAGTTTCACCATTTCTGAATCGGCTGGACCAGACAGTGACCGGCATGATGCTTTGAACATACATGGGATCATGGCAGGTAGTTGCAATATGCCATCGGCACATGCTCTTACTTTCTTCTCTGTCCTCTCTTCCTTCGTTATCTGATGTTTGGACCGCTCTTGCTCTGTCACATCAGGTAGCTGCCATCGAGTTCGCGTGATCGACAGCTGCACTCCCAACCTGTTCCGCGCGGAGGTCGAGCATGCAAGAGAGCCGGCGATCTTGCGTGGATTGTGCATAGGGAAGGTAACAGGAGAAGGACGAAGCCTGGTGCTGAGACTTGACGGCAACCCAGTGCTTGCAAACTTGGACACCCGAGCACGTTGCCGAGCGAGGAGGGAGCAGAGTGGGTTCATCTTGGGAGGGAGACGCGGACCTTATCCTCTTGCAACTCAGGATGTCAGCGTCCACGTTTCTGTCAACGACAGGATGGACTTCATTGCGAAGAACTTCGAGTACAAGACCTTGCCCTTCTGCGAGCTCATCAAGAGGTAGGCGCTCCCTGCTACCTCGCCTCCTTGCCTGCTCCCTGCTGAAGGGATCCGTCCAGGGCCGCGCACGGGTGCAACGCAGACAAAGTGGAGGTAACCGCCTGCTCCTGCTCCTGCTCTCTGTCGACGTGATGGGTGGGCAGGGAGGCGACGAGATGAAGGTGGAGGGAAGAGCGGATGGGGCCGGCGGGGCAGACGCTGAGAGGGAAGAGGGTGAGAAAGCTGGGGACGCGCAAGGGCCAGCAAGGACGCAGGTTGAGAAGGACGAGGTGGAGAGAAGGAGAGGATACTTCCTTGGACCAGAGGAGAAGTATTATATGAGAGCACTCGGTCTGTTACAGTCTTTCCTTGTGTCTTACTCCCTGCCTCTCCCTTCTTCCTGCCTGCCCATCCCTCTCTGCCTTTTTCTCTGCTCCCTCCCTCCCTCCTCTTTCTGTCTCCCTCTGCCTCCCTCTCCCTCCCTCTCCCTCCCTCTCCCTTCCATTTCCTTTCGCTTCCTCTCTTCCTCTCTCCCCGTTTGCTACCCTCTTGATTAGCTCCATTGCAGGCAAAGATCCCCGGAAGGACATCGCAGACTTCGCTTCAGATTTCCCTCTGCTGGCTGAGGAGGTTGATATCCCTCCTCTCTTCGATCGGGATGCTTACTTCAGCTCCGTCTTGCGGTTAGAACGATCATCCCCTCCCTCCCTCCCTCCTCCCTCCCTCCCTCCCTCCCTCCCTCCCTCCCGTCTCCTCGCTCCTCGTCTCACTGTCCTACTCCTCTGCCGTTGCGTTCACATGCCAGGATAGGGTTGGCTCTCCAGGAATTCACTTGTGGACGCACTACGATGTCATGGACAACGCTCTTATCCAAGTCAAGAAGCTCATGATCGACTACAATGCTGACAAGATGAGCAGGTGACTGGAAGGAAGCGAGTTGTCCTCTTTTCTCCTCAGGTGTAAACGCACCTGCCAGTTTGGGTTGAGCGGGTGTGATGACATGGCAGGATGCTGATAACCTCTACATGGTTGGCGACAAGTCCGCAGTCCTAGACATCGACAACCCTGGTGCCCTCCTCCCTCTTGAGGCACAGGCTACCCCTAACTCGGTGCTTCTAAGATCTCACCCGCTTCCCTCTCTTCCGCCATGCCAGGCCCTACGAATGCATCATGGAGCCTGGTTTTCGCTCATTGCCATGTAGCTCGCTCACTCTCGTTGGGCAGGAGACGTACTCTTCATACCAGCCCTCTGGTTCCATAATGTCGTCTCCCTCGATTTTTCCATCGCCGTCAACGTCTTTTGGCGGCATCTGCCGAGGTACCACATCCTGCTTCACCTCTCCATCTTCTTGGTGACATCTTGTTGACTTGATCTCAGGGATATGTACGACGGCAAGGACACCTATGGCAACAGAGATCCGCTCCCTGCTAACCGCGCGATGCAACAAGTCGGTACTCTGATCAAGACCCTGGAAACCCTGCCAGCGGACCACCGGGACTTTTACGCGAGAAAGATAGTGAGGAAGATTCAAGAGAGTTGCTATGCGGACAGTTTGGAATGAATCAATCGCATTACATTGAATATTGACTGTGCACTGTTGGAACAATCCGTGAGTGGTCTTAAGGACTTTACTATGATACAAAATCAACACATCTACTTTGACACAACGCTCGTAATGGGAAGAAAGCTCTCGATACTCGCGACGGCCCGATTGCCCATCTCGGGTCTCAGAGTTTTGGCTGGACGTGCATACTCGACATTAGAGAACCCTCGCTTCAACCCGGACATGGTCTCAATCGCAGAGTCTGATCCAGCAGGTGAGACTGATCCGTCCTCCCGACCCATCGTTGTGTCACAAGGAGCTGAGTGAGTTCTCTGCATCCTGACGGCCTTGGACTTGGGCTTCCCTGTGGACTTATACTTGTCGCATGCGTAAAGAAGTTCTTCATGATCAGTCCACATGGTCTTGGTGAGTTCGGCACCCAGCTTTCTTGTCCAGATGTCTCTCACCGCCTGTGCGGTGATGTGGAATAGATCAGCGACAACGGCTGATCTTCCTGCAGACGCTTGCTCCATGGCCCCTGAGCCGCAAGTCTGGCGGGAACGCAGAGCGTAGACTTGAAGGACTTGATCCTTCGTCAACCATTGCCCGTTCACACTGATGCCATCAACAACAGGCTCTGCCACAACAGTCGCAATAGCTTGCTGAGCTGGAAGGTTTGCCTGCTGCTGAGAAACATGATGGTGGACTTGGCCGAGAAACGTAGAGGGAAAATTGTTGGCCAGTTGTTGCTTGTTCAGTTGCGCAGCTTGCATTTGCTGCAAGTTCGCAGCAGTGAGCGGCGATGGCAAGGGGCTGACATTCACATTCATGCCGGAAGCCATGCTAGTTGGAATGTTTAAACGGAATGGAAAACCTTGGCTAGTCGTCTGTATCGTCTGTTGGTTGCGTGCTGCGTAGTTCAGCTGGGAGGCCATGTTTGCCACGTTCGACTTCATCTGAGAGAAGTCTGTGGTCAACGAGCCATTTGACTGCATGGCTTGCAACGCGCTTGCAGTAGCCAACATGCTCTGCATGTCCCTAGCGGTGAAGGCCGAGTTGTCCTGAAGGCCGAACTTGTTTCTGTTCTGGTCAAGGGTGTTGCTATGTATCACGTCCTGCTGTGCACGGGAAGCGAGGAATGCTGCCAACATAGAGGCGTCGAGAGATTGTGAGGGCGCTATCTTTAGAGCTTGCGAAGAGATGGGGAAGATACAGAGATGGAGTTCTTCTGCGGGAGGAGCAGAACTAGCTAGCAGGAAGACGTGCAGTCGAAAGTGCGAGGATGGAAGAGGAGGCGAAGAACTGGTTTAAAAAGAGCAAGGGGGTGGAGTCCAATAATGGGGGGTAGGGGTTATCACCCTACCTCGTGGATGAGTGCTTGGAGTTTACTCATCAAGAATCGACGTCACTTCACCCCTAAATAATCAAAATAATTACTTGAAAGTGTATGGTGGGGTCCACCACCATCAACTGAATCCACATCATGTTGGAGGGAAATTTGAGAAGGTTCAGGGTCCAAGGGGGGTGGCATCTGTGACACATCGTTCGGCTGTAAGCTCCGAAAGTGCAGGCGGGATATCGGGCAAAGGCTCCGTGGCTGACATTATGCGGTATAAAATCTTAACGCTTCGAGACTTGAGTAAAACATGAGCAGCGCCAAATCATAGCCTTTGGGGTTTCTGTCCACCTGAATTACTACCAATGGTCACGCGGTCAGATCAATAATATGATATAGAACCTCTATATGGTTTTAATTTGACTTACAAATATGTAAATACGCGTGATGCTCAATGCACGAGGGCGTCAGCTCCGTAGGAGTCTGTTCGCATGGATCGGAGCACGGATACCACACTTGAATCCACTCGTGACCTGCGCCTCGAAATAACTCGAGTTCTACGGTTTAATTGGGTTGTAAAGATATCTCAGTATAACGGATGGTTCGTTTTTAAGGCCGGTTTATAAAAATTGCGGTGGCCTTGTGGTTTTGCAGGGGTAGGGGAAGGGGGGTGGTGGGGTCATCAGGTGTTTTGAAATGACTATGTTATCCCCACCATTATCCACGGTGATGGAGGGGTAGAAAGAAGAAATGGTTCTGTAGAGGGTAGGGTGATCTAACTTCCCTCGTACGAAGAGGGTGGGGTGCTACAGGGGCTGCTAGGCAGAGTCGGGAGTCACGCAACTACTGCCTGATTACCCACCCTCGCACAGGAAGGACAGACAGTGTGTACTCGATGTCCATCCAGCCTCTCACATAACATATTTGGATCATCCAGTATCTCGGATTGTAACTCATGCGACAAGGGATACTATAACTACGATGGAGTATCCTGCACCCAGTGCCCTGTTAATTCCAACACCACAGTTATCGGGTCTGCTTCCGTCTCCGACTGTCAGTGCAATGTTGGGTATTACATGGATCTGGCACAATATGTGTGTATCTCCTGTGGTCCAAAACAAACCACTAGCAGCACGGGCTCTACATCCTCTTCTTCATGTTATTGCTTGGGTAACTACTACAGGGACGCCAACGGATACTGTACTTGCCCGGCGGGAAATTACATCGACTCGAACAACGATTGCAAGACCTGCCCTTACAACTCTTACAGCACCTCCATAAACAGTTCTTCTTGCGTACAATGCCAACCGGGCTTTAGGACAAGTTCAAAGACCTCAGGATCCTGCTATAGGCTCACCAACCCTTACAACGACAGGAGCGTTGCATATCCTTATTGGACCAATTGTGGAAATTGGGATTCTATATCACAATATTATTGCGGTTACACGACATGGGGTGTGGGAAAAATAACTTACAAATGGTATTGCCCTGAAGGTACATCACACGTTGTCATATATGATTTGAAATCCAATACTGATATCAAGTCATGTACATCTGGTTTGACTACATTGAACACTTCATTGAATTATTACATTCATACACAAACCGGAGGTTATCAATCTTATATCTTTGACACGGTGATAGAGCTTGAACTCAACAACTACTACAGGCCGGTAGATACAATATATGAATACATAGGACAGAAGACATGGGTGAGAATGATGACATATGGATGGACAATCCCAGAATTGAAGATCAATACAACTACAAATGAAATCATCAGATTTGACAATGGATGCCATCAATTTTCCTACTTGACACTGTACTCTGAAACTGACATCTACACTCCAGCCACTTTGAAATTATCAATAGATTGGTCCAGTCCTGATTACATGTGGCATGAAAATGCAATCATACACATTACGATCGACAAAGATGCCACACCCCCCAAGTCAGTGCAAATCATCATTGAAGGTATATGTAAAAGTTCCATATGCAATGGGCTGGTGGTCTATATTACCAAACATAGCTGCGGGGGGACGGGTGAGATATCATGCTCTACAATGTTCTCGAAACCAGTACTTTTGACCTACATGGGTTACGACGGTGTTTATATGCAATCCGATGAATATGGGTCGATTGAGGTCAACTACAAGAAGTTTGCCATCTATTACGATAACACTGTGGAGTATGGCCCAACTTATTATGGGACTTACTTCCATGTCTGTCTATCGCCTTCATATCCTATGCTAAGAAGTCTAGAGGGGATACGTTTCCAATCACAGGTTCCACATTGGTACGAAATCATGAGGTACAAACCTTGTTCTTATGGTTACTATGCGACAACCAACGTGAGCGACCCTTGTCAGAAGTGTCCGGTTGGAAAGTTCAGTAATCTAGTCAGCTTCATCCCAGACGACCCCGATCTGATGGAAGATGCTTCTTTCATTTGCCAGCCTTGCAAGCCTTACACCACGACCGACCCAACAAAACCTGCATACACTTCCAAGCATTGTATCTGCGCATCGGACACGATAATCTACAATCCTGCGGAATACCCTAATGCCATAGATTTTACCATAACGGAAAGGAATCTTTACGCTTGGTGTCTTCCCAGTGATTGTCCCATTGGTCAATACCATAATATGGATTATTACACAGTATACAACTATGGATATTACAATTTTCTTGGAGGTTACTTGGTTGCTTCTACTACAATCATCTTCAACATGACCAATTTCATCCTTCCGTCCAGAACATGCTACCCCTGCCCCTTTTCTCATTACAGAAACAGTAGCATCAGCAGTCAGAGATGTGTTAGGTGCCCGGAGACAAAAGGAACAAACTTTAAAGGGGCAACCTCCATAGATGACTGCGTCTGTGACCTTGGGTTTTACTTCTCTGTGACGGAAGCCAGATGCATACCCTGTGCAATTGGATTCTACAAGGACGTGGCGGGCAATGAAGCATGCACCCCCTGCCCTGCAAACACCTCAACATTGATCGTTGGTGGCAATTCTTTGATGAGCTGCGTCTGTGACAAAGGATACTATAGCACGCAAGATGACCAATGCGTTCCCTGCGCAGTAAAGACTTACAAGGCCGTGAAAGGAAATAATATTGAATGTGTAGAGTGCCCAGGGGACTCTACCACCGAGTCTATTGCCTCACCCGACTTTTCCGCGTGCAAGTGCGGTCCTGGATACAAAGGAGTGGATGGTAGCAATTGTGAACTTTGTCCTTCTGGCACTTTCAAGCAAACTTACGGAAACTACCCTTGTATCAACTGTACTGACACCTACGTGACCGTGGATGACGGGACTGGGAACCAGGGGTGCTTCTGCAACTATGGCAACTACCAGGATGTAACCGGAATGTGTGTCAACTGCCCAATCAACACCTACAAGGACACCATATCGAACAGCCCGGCATGCACTCCTTGCACCAACAATAGCATAACTTTACAAGAGGCTTCGACAAGTGTTTCATCCTGCCTCTGCGAGCCAAGGTATGGGCTCAACAGCGACGGCGAATGTGTGAAATGCCCAAGCAACACCTACCGGAGTGGTTACAGCAGGAGCGCTTGCGTAGGATGCCCACTATATTCAACCAGCCAGGGATTTTCTGTCAAGGAGGATTGTGTATGCAACGCCGGTTACACGGGCCCCAACGGTGGTCCTTGCATCCCTTGCAATGACCGCACTTACAAGCCCCTACCCGGGAATGCCAATTGTACCTCCTGTCCCAGCAATACGGTATCCGCGCTTGCCTCCGTATCCGTCAACTCTTGCATCTGCAAGCCCGGTTATTTTGGCCCCGCTGGGTTGCCCTGTCAGCCCTGCGATGTGAATGCCTACAAGCCAGAGACCGGGGACTATCCCTGCAGGTGCAAGCCAGGATACACGGGTCCGGACAATGGCGTCTGCTCCGCTTGTCTTCTTGGCTATTATAAGATCTCCTACGGGAGCTCGAGCTGCGATGCATGCCCACCGGGTTCCAGCACTCTGAATCAAGGCAGTACAAGTCGCGACCAATGCCTTTGCTCACCCGGTCACTTCAGGCTCAACGGAACCTGTGAGGAATGTCCCATTGGCACCTACAGCACGACATATGAGGCTCTCACTTGCATTCCCTGCTCAGGCAACACCTCCACCCTCTACACGGCATCCTCGAGCCCCAACCAATGCCTTTGCAAACCGGGTCACGAGCTCATCTCAGTAGGAGATGGATACATCAAGGATTGCCAGGCCTGTGGACAGGGCTTCTTCAAGTCCACGCTCAACGACGGCCCTTGCTCCATCTGTCCCCCGAACAGTTGGACTAAAGGGGTATCACCTCCAGTGCAATGTCGGTGTGTTGCAAACTATGCATATGACGGCATCGACCCCACCGATTGCAACACCTGCAGCGAGGATGCGTACTGGGACGGCACACAATGCCTGCCCTGCCCGCTCTATTCATCGGGCCCATTTGGTAGATCCACTCTCAGTGAATGCGTCTGCCTGCCTGGCTACTCCTACCCCAATGGGATAGAGTGCCTGCCTTGCCCCTACAACACTTACAAGGATTCGTCAGGAAACCAAGATTGCACCAAGTGCCCTTTCAACACCATGAGTGGGCTGGGCTCCGATAGTGTGAGCAAGTGCGCCTGCCCATATGGGTACTTCAAGAACGGTGACGACTGCGACCCCTGCCCTGCCGGCACCTACAAGCCCGACTTTGGCAACACCAGCTGCCTGAATTGCAAGCTCAACAGCATCTCACAGCCTGGATCGAAGATCGAGGGCTTCTGCCTCTGCAAGCAGGGATACTACCTTGACAGCCAGAAAAACTGTGTCGAGTGCCAAGGGAGCACTTACAAGGACACTGTCTCTAATGCTCCGTGCCTCTCATGTAAGCAGAATGAGTTCTTTTCTGGTAATGACCACACCACCTCTTCCAGCTGCGTGTGCGACATTGGTTATTACCAGCTCTTTGATGGCAGCTGTGTGGAGTGCAACGTGGGGGAGGTGAAGTACTTCCTTGGCCCGGGCCCTTGTATCAACCCCCTCAAGGGTGTAGGTTGCAGCTCTCTATGCTCCATAGGGCAGCGTCTTCAAACCAAAGAGGACGTATACGACCTCTACATACAGCAGTCGGGCATATGTGGGCAGTCCGTCCCGACGCTTTACAAGTACTACAACACATCCACCTCCTCTTACACCACGGTGAATGCGACACTCGAGACCTACCTTGATCAGTGGGGGGATGCCGCCAACTGGAAGGAGAAGACAAGGGTGATCATCCCAACGGACTATACCGCCCCCGAGTGCTATTGGTACCTTAGCAACGTGCAACCGAGTGTCTTGATGCTGAGCCTGAGACTCAACGTTGACATGGCCGAGGTGGTCTTCAAGGCTGGACTCTATCGCTGCAGCAGCTGTGGCTATTCCGCAGGTCAGTGTAGCACCATCCAGAGCTTTGACCTAAAAGACACCGCACTGCAGCAGATCGAGGTGAGCATCGACGTATACTCCTGTGTCGTGCTCAGGGTCTATTCTGAAAACTTCCCCTTGATACTCTACAATCTCAATACCTTGGGGCTTTCGCATCCTCCACAGGTTCTGCTCCAGGTCACGAGCAAGCCACCCACCTGCGAGTGTGTCAACTGTGACGCTTCTGACACCGCCATCGCCATTGTCAAGCCCTCCTTCATCAAGATCTGGGCTTCAAAAGCTCACGCTTACGGTTCCATTGAAGTTCTTAATGACATGATGCGGAACACCTCACTAGATCTCAAGAACTCCGCGGAGGACTGTGTCATCAAGAACCAGCTGCATTCCAGAAGCTTCGACGTGACCTTGGATTGCACAGACGGTCCCTTACTCTCCATGGCCACGATGGTGCGGTTCAGTTCGTTGCCTCCTATGTCAATCGCAAGATCATTTTCGCTTGCAAGGTTGACATCTTGGACAGCTCAATCTTGATCAAGTTCGACGGCAAACTGGTTTACAGCATTGACAACGCACAAGATGCCGATCACTACGTCGAAGTGGAGGTCGGCTTTGGAGAGCACATGCTGGAGTGCTACTCTTCTTCGCTGTCACACAGCACAAACTCTCTTCAAATCGTTTACTTGAACTGGACCTATCACTATCAACCCTTCTCAATGGAGATCAACAACTATACCGAGGGCGGCTATGCTTGCTTGAGAGAGACAGACGAATGCGGCGACTGCACTCTTGGAAGGAGGCCAAAGTATCCTGCTTCCTCCTGCCCTTGCGAGCTATGCCCTGCAGGGACCTATGGGACATACCAAGTTGGGCCCGATCCCTATGCATGCGAGCTCTGTGAGTTTGGCAAATACAGCTCAAGCCCAGGTTCCATAGAGTGCAGCCAATGTCCCGAAAACTCCATAACATCCTCCCAGGGTGCTTCAAGGGTGCAGGACTGCGAGTGCAAGCAGGGCTACTACTTTGATGTATCAAGGTCCTTATGCAAAGAATGCCCTCCAGCAACTTACAAAGACTTCATCGGCAACCAGGCCTGCCTCCCTTGCCCAGGAACCAAGATGTCATCCATCCCAGGGTCCACGCAAGCCGATCAGTGCTTCTGTCTCGGTGGATTCATCAAGACCTCCTCCACTGTCTGCGAGCCCTGTCCTGCCAACACCTACCAGCATGACATGTATACCTGCAAGGCCTGCCCCTTGAATCACAACTCCAGCATCGCCTCCCCCAGCATCGAGGGCTGTGTCTGCAGCGACGGCTATGCGGGGGAAAACTGCACCTCCTGTGATATTGGATACAGGCAATTGGGAGGAGCCTGTGTTCTGGATAAGGACTTTGTCAAGGATGTCAGCGCATCGCTCCACACCTGTGCCCTCTTCTCTTCCAAGGAGGTAAAGTGCTGGGGGTTGAATGATATGGGACAGCTAGGATACCTGGATGTCGCTAACCGTGGTGATGACATCAATACAATGGGATCGAACCTTGCCGTCCTAGATGCCATCAGTCCTTTTGTAGCCGTAGTCACGACCAGGGGTTGGAGCTGTGGCCAGATGACATCGCTGGAGATCAAGTGCTGGGGCAATACCTGGCATGACACCAATAATCTCCAGTTCTTTTTTGATGGCCCTTCGGACCTCAACTTTGGAGACAACATCTATGCAACCTCGCTCTCTGCCGGCATGGACCACGTCTGTGGCATATTCAACGACCAGAGGGTGAGGTGCTGGGGAGACAACAGTCACGGGCAGCTCGGGACAGGGGACAGGACCCCTTACTACCTCCTCCCCTACCACATCACCCCGTCTCATCCCAACATATCCTTCCCCTCCCCACCCAGGAGTATAGCATGTGGGTCTTACCACACCTGCGTGCTACTTGAGAACCGTAAGATATACTGCTGGGGCAACAACCTGCACAGGCAGCTGGGCTTCATCTCTTACAACAACGAAGACATCCTCAAGTACACCCAGTTCGCCATAACCCAGGTCATCTACCCTGACAAACTCTATGCAAGAGGCTCAAGAACCTGTGTCATCGACATGGAGGGCCAACCCGATTGCTGGGGGTACTGCGACGACGGGACCTGTGGTGCCAACAACACCATCGCCCTGCAGACTGGGAGGACGGCACTGAAGCTGGCTCTTACCATCAACACCACCTGCGTGCTGCTTGATAACCACAGGGTATCATGCTTTGGCAGCAACCAGTACGGACAACTTGGCATTGACTCCAGTGACCAATCTCTGAAGATAGGCTTGCTTGGCACGGATATGTCGGATGCTCTCAGGTACAACAACATACCGCAGACCTACGTCGATGACATCTTCTCTGGGTACTACCATTTCTGCTACACCGACAACCTTGCCCTCCTGCGGTGCTGGGGCTACAATGAGTTCGGTCAGCTCGGATATGAGAACACTGTGAATCTCGGAGATCGGAGCAATGGGATCCTGATGGCACAGGGACTCGTTCCCATAAACGTTGGTTCCATCGTCATCTCTAGCTGTGAGTCCGGCTACTTCTACAGCCTGGACCTTCTCAGATGTGTAGAGTGCAACGCCTGCCCCAGTGGCAGCTTTGCCACGAAGCCCTGCTCTACCTACCACAACACGGTGTGCCAGCCCTGTGCTACTAACCTCACATCGGGCCTGGACGCCAACAGCTATTCCGAGTGCAGCTGCAAGAAGGGGTTTGAGAGGGTGATTGCGGGTGACAAGGACTCGGCTTGCAAGGCATGTGACCTTGGCTACTTCAAGATTGTAGGCACCGACGAGAGATGCCAGCCCTGCCCCAACGGCCTTGGATCCACCTTGTATGGTCTTGAGAGCCTTGCCCAGTGTGAATGTCCTCCGGGATACTACGGCTCCAATGGCGGCGAATGCACCCCTTGCCCAGTAGACACTTACAAGGAGGACTTTGGATCTTTGCAGTGTCAGGACTGCCCGGACCTCAGCAAGAATGCAATCCTCGGCTCCACCTCTATCTTGGATTGCAAATGCCAGGAGGGTTATTACGACATCGGTGTTATCAACAACGTGCTCATCAATTGCAGGCTTTGCCCCAACGGCAAGTACAGCAACACCATAGGTTCCAAGTCTTGCATCTCCTGTGGCTACGGCCTGACAAGCCCTACGGGATCGAGGCTCTACTCGGACTGCACTTGCGCGGACAACTTCTTCTTCTACAACTTTACCAACCGCTGCGAACCTTGTCCCAACAACTTCTACAGGAATCCGGGAGATACGGAATGCAAGTTCAGGGGCACCAGCTACGTTGAATGTACTCCAAACTCCACCTTGAACAATCCATTCGATCAATCCATCTATGACTGTGTCTGCGACTCGGGTTTCTATGGGAACTACCTGGGTTGCGCAAAATGCCCCAGTTACAGCATCAACATCAGAAACCAGCTCAACAACTCGAGGTTTACTGATTGCAAGTGCATACCGGGCTATACGGCTTTTTCCTTGGAGGAGTGCAGACCATGCCAATCGGCCACTTACAAGGACTTTATCGGCAACGAGGCCTGCACAAGATGCCCTGACAATCAGGCCTCCGATCCGGGCTCTATCTCTCTCTCGCAGTGCCAATGCATCCCCGGATACGAGCTCCTCACTGAGAACGGCGTTACTGACTGCTTTCCGTGCAAGTACAACTATTACAAGAACATAACCAGCAACGAGCTGTGTCTTCAATGCCCTAACAATAGCTACACCGTATCCACTGCCACCAACTCGTTCGAGTTTTGCATCTGCACCAACGGATACTATGGCACTGCTCCCTGCACCAAGTGCGACTTTGGTTACTACTCCAACTTCAACGAGATCGATATGGAGTGCAAGGCGTGCCCTTTGAACTCTTACACCCTCAACAGGAGCTCTACCAACGTCAGCGACTGCCTCTGCCTCCCGGGATTCTACTCCTCCACCGGCATTGGTCCTTGCTCGCCCTGTCCGCTAAAGACCTACCAGCCGAGCTACGGCAGCACGACCTGCATTGCTTGCAGTCAAAACACCGTGACACTCTCTGTTGGATCGAGTGCCATTTACGATTGCAAATGCATTGAGGGTTACGAGGGCGACGGCACATTATGCCTCCCTTGCCCTTACAACTCCTACAAGAGCATCATCAACAACTCGGCTTGCGTCACATGCCCCATCAACTCCTTCACCAATAGAAGCCTTGTCAATCTCATCTCTAGCAGTGTCGTCAACTGCATCTGCGCCCCTGGCTACGTGGCAGACGGCATCCTGGCCTATTGCGACGTCACGGCCGAAGGATACTACAAGCCTCTGTCAGGAAGCAGCATCGTGGCCTGCCCGCTCAATACCATCTCCTCCACCGCAAGTAAGAGTGTTTACGACTGCCAGTGCAAGCCCGGATTCTACGGGAGTGACGGAAACATCTGCCTCATCTGCCCAGCGAACCATTACAAGTCGGAGAGGGGAAACAGACCCTGCACCCCTTGCCCTGAGAATATGCTATCCGCCAAGGGAAGCACCTCCCTGTCTCAGTGCTACTGCCCAACCGGATACGGCATCCTATACAACCCACAGACGATGGCATACGATTGCAAACCCTGCTGGCCGCAAGGCTTCAACCTGTTCAATGGCACCAACACACCCTGCAAGTACTGCCCACCCAACTCGGTGACACTGCCAAACGTAGCTTCGAGCATATCCAACTGCACCTGCAAGAAAGGATACGAGGGCCTGACAGTCGAGAGCTGCTCACAATGCTATCCTGGCAAGTTCAAAGATACTGAAAGCTTTGGTTCTTGCAAGACCTGCCCCACAGGACTGATTGCAGAGGATTATGGCTCAGAGAAGTGCAAGTGTGACAACAACAAGTTTGAGTTCCAAGGACAGTGCTATAACCTCTACCCTGAGTTCTTTGACACGTTCCCCAGCGCTTGCGCCGGTTCGCTCATACCCTACAATCAATCGATCTACGGATGCACCTGCATGCCCGGCACCTACGATCGCAACGGGTTTCTGGACTGCGTATCCTGTCCTGCCCACCAGACCACGGACCTTGGCTCTTCACAGTGCTACTGCGTAGAGAACTACTACATGGACTCGAACGGGGACTGCCAGATCTGCCCCTCGAACAAGGCGTCCCCCGCAAAGTCCACCAGCGTGCTTGACTGCTCCTGCCCGCAGTGCGAGGAGGACGGCCAGTGCGTGCCCTGCGCCTACCCCTGCCCTGTCAACAGTTACTTTGAAGTCAAGCCCTACAGCATCGACGACTGCCTTTGCAACAAGGGCTACTACAAGTCCGGGACAGAGTGTGTCTCTTGCGGGATAAACTCTACCACTTCTTCCGCAGGAGCCACCGACCCGTCCTCTTGCGTCTGCTCTCCTGGCAACTTCCGAGACTCCGGGGTCTGCAAGCCATGCCCCATATCCTTCTACAAGGCATCGGAGGGAGACGGGGCCTGCTCCCCTTGCCCCTCCAACACCTACACCTCCGTGCTTGGGCAGACGGTGTGCCAGTGCTCCGACCTCAAGGTGGGGCCCGGGGAGAGCTTCAAGATCGTTTCCCTGCAAGAGCTCATCATCGACACCACCGACTGCTATATCATCATCGACCAGTACCAACTCATTCCAGGAGAGTGGATCTCGGGAACCTGCGAGTTCCGCATCCAATCCCTTGTCTCTTCGGGAACCAACACTCTCAGGGGAACCAATCCTTTCGCTATCTACTCTGTGGGACTGGTCAACATCACGGGCAACATTAGACACCTTGGATCCTTGTCCGAGACCAGGGGAGCGGGCTACTATGCGGGCTTCTGCTACTATGGGGGATCGGGAGGCGGCTTTGGAGGGCAGGGAGGCTTTGGCTCCGCCCCTGGAGGCCCAGTCTACGGCGCCAAGGAGCTATGGCCGTGGTCTTCCTACCAAGGCTCTCCGGGAGGTCAGGGAGGTGACTGCAATGTCTACAGCACGGAGACCAACCTTGGAGGGCAGGGAGGAGGTGGGGTGCTGATCGCCTCCTACACGAGAGAGGTGATCCTGGGGAGCGTCGACGTCTCCGGCAAGGACTCTGAACATCAGGGCACCATCAGGCCGGGAGGTGGAGGCAGCGGAGGAGCGATCCTTCTCATCTCACCGTTGATGGTCAAGGCTACCAACCTACTAGCCAAGGGAGGCTCCGGAAGCTCTGCCACCTTCTCGGGAGGAGGGGGAGGGGGAGGTAGGATCGCTATATGGTCCCCGGTAATCTTCTACGAGTCCATCTCCGTGCTGAGAGGAGAGGGTTACAACCAAGTGCCCGCCTTGGATGGCACCATCTACGAGGTGCTCAGGGTCCCAGACGACTATCAGACACCTGCGCTCCAGTGCTATGCCTGCAAGAACGGATCATACTACCAAGACAACCAGTGCATCTACTGCGGAGACAATCAGATCACCTCTTCAGTCACCGGCCAGTGCGAGTGCAAGGCGGGTTACACCTCGCTGAACAACCACGGGCAATGCATCGCCTGCGCCATAGGGAGCTACAAGTCTCTACCAGGCATCGGCAACTGCACCCAATGCCCTTACGTTGGCTCCTACTCACCGCAGGCCTCTACCTCACTCTCCCAGTGCCTCTGCAACTCGGGATACTACCTCTCCCAAGGCAAGTGCGAGAAATGCCCTGTAGGCACCTATAGCTCCTTCCCCAACACCAACCCAAGCTGCCAGGCCTGTCCCAGCAGCCTCACCACCATGTACACAGGAAGCACCTCGTTCCAGGAGTGTAGCTGCCCGCCCGGCACCTACTACGACCAGTTCAATGTCAAATGCAACAACTGCAGCATCGGATACTACTATCCCTCTTACGGGTACCAGCTTGGCTGCATCGCCTGTCCAAGCCCCACTATCACTCCCTACACCGGCAGCTCCTCCAAGAGCGACTGCAAGTGCTCCGTGGGCTACTACTTCAACACAACCCTGCAAGACTGCAAGGCCTGCGAGGTTGGCAAGTACGATCCCAACTCTCTCAACGACTTCTTGCCTTGTACTTCATGCCCCGTAGCAACCTACAACCCGCTAGAGGGCAGCATCGGTCCACAGTCCTGCATTCCTTGTCCAAGAGGCACTTACTCCCTCGTATCCGAATCGAGCTCTCTGCAAGACTGCCAGTCCTGCCCGAAAGAGGACGGATCCGAAGAGATGGAGATCTGGGTGGCACAGAGCGTCTACGTCCACACCGCCTCCGGTGTCAACCCCTACGACATATTCATCGACATCATGAATCAGATGCCAAGGCAGGACCAGACCAACGTGAAGGAGGTGATCAACTCGATGCTCCAGTGCTTCAATCAGTCCAACATACTCATGGGCAACGACGCAAGGACACTTCTCCACTGGATCACGCAGCCCTGTGCCCTCTGCATGATGGTGACGAGCTGGTCGATCCAGCAGGGCGTTGAGGTTGTGTCCAGCGACATCCCTCTGGCGAACAAGGATTTCATGAACATCGTGCTCTCCTCCGCCTACCAGCACATGCTCAACTACCTCCAGCACCTCGACATACTCCTGAACAACTGCAAGATCTCCACCAAGACGAAGCAGACCAAGTATATCGCGGACTCCTTCGAGCTCTTTAGGGGAGCCTACGTTCACCCCGAGCTCGACAAGGTGATCTACTGCCCCCTCCCTCCCGCCACCTTCTCCTTCGTGGTCGACGTCGGCTCGGGCTGGAACAACAAGGTGGGGGTCTTTGAGCTCACCAACAAGTGCGTCTTCGCCAACATCTTCAACGTCATCTGCAACCCGAAGCTCAAGCCTTCCGACGAGTTCCTGCAGGAGATCGCCGTGATGGAGCCTACGAGGGAGTATGTGGAGGGCATGACCTCGATCGAGGGCAAGTGGGTCAACTACATGATCAACAACGTCATGGAGCAAAGGGACTCTCTCTACAGTGAGACGGAGGCGCTCTACTTCAAGACCACCGGCAAGCACGACGCATCCAACAAGAACTACTCCGTCCTGATGTCCCTTGCCTTCAACACCGGCTCTATGGCGAGCGTCGACTCCACGATGAACCTCGTGATGCACCAGGTCAACGACTTTGCCTTCTACTCGGAGTCCACGATCATCAAGAACACGGTGGATGTGGCCAAGGCTTTGGAGACCAACACGGAGATGGACGACCTCATCAACGAGCAGCTCTACAGCATGATGAAGAACAAGCGATACTGCTACCGGTGCATGGACAGCATGGGCCTGACGATGATGCAGGATTACCTGACCTCGCTCAACGAGATCTTCCAGCTGAGCTACACCAACCTGAATCTCCTCTGGGTTCTTTTCATGAGCACGCTGAGCTACTCCCTCCCCCTTGAGCCTGCCTGGGCCACGTGCGTGATGGTGGTGGACGCCGCCTGCCAGCCCGAGGTGGTGGTAGACAAGAAGGTTGCAAGCCTCAGCGTGGGAGGGTCGAAGAGGGACAGCACCGGCTTCAACTTCGTCCAGGCCAGCTACACCCAGTTCATGAGTGCCATGAACAAGCTGGTGGCCGTCGGCGCCCCCGAGCTCGTCGTTTCCAACTCCAACTACTCCGACGGCAAGAGGAAGAGGATGGGCCTGACGCTCGCGACGATGAACAACAAGGAGATCAACGAGGAGAACACCACCCACCTCACGGATTACGGCAAGCCCGTCTTCATCTCCGAGGACTGCCACAAGCTGCTGGCGGACACGGGGATGGCCAAGAACTTCATGCGGGAGGCTTGCGAGAAGAAGGAGAGCTCGAGCCAGAGCTGCAAGATCTCGGAGAACTACAACATGAAGCTGATCATGATCGAGGAGCCGAGGCTGCTTTGCATGGCGACCAACAAGAAGGAGATTGGCAACGGCGACGCCTTCTCCATGGCTGCCCGTCTCAGGTTCCATGCCTCCGGTATGTCCGACGAGTGCGTGCCTCTGAGGTTCAGGGAGGGGGAGGGCAGCGGCAACCAGCAGCCGACGGGAGGGAGGAAGGTGAGGATCAAGGAGACCAACGACGTCACGTTTGCGATGAAGAACAACCTCTTCAACATGCTCCCCAACGCGGGGGTCAAGAACAACAGCTCGGTGGAGTTTAACCTCAAGAGATCAAAGAAGAACGTCATACCGGTGCTTCTCTTCCACCTCACCTCTCACGTGGAGCAGATCCTGACCCTCAGCGGCTTCAAGCTCAACTGCAACGACAACCACGGAGTGAGCAGGCTTATCTGCAGTGAGATGAACTACTTTATGTTCCGCCTGATGGAGCCCTTCCTCTCCACCGACATGAACGATGAGGAGAGGTTCACGAGGAAGCAGAAGGGGCTCATGTTCAGCTATACGGTTCCCCTTCACGTCATCAACACCGTCAACAAGAGGATCTTGTCGGAGATGTTCAAGGTCGTGCCCACCGAGGAGGACGACGAGGTTGTCTTCACCTTTGACTGCAACGCCATCGTCAGGGAGAGCGTGATCAACCTGCTGTACTCGGATATCGACACGAGCCTGGTCTGCGCCGGCTACCTCTGCAACATCACTTTTGATACGGTGATGTACGTTGTCTTCCGATCCGTCATCAGGATGCTGGAGTTTCCGAACCAGTACAGCCTCTCCTCCCTGGTCAGGCTCTTCAAGTACGGGAGCGAGGCGCTGACGAGGGAGGAGATGGACAAGCTCAACCTGCTCAAGGTGTGGATCCAGCATCGGTTGAAGTTCTTCGTGACCAACCAGGACCTGAACGAGACCAAGCCCAAGCAGGACGCGAGGGAGATGAACGAGATCCTCAAGATCGATGAGCACTTCTCTAGGTCCGGAGAGGGTGACTTTCTCTCGGGCGCCAACAGGGAGCGCTACGGCAGGAGCATCTTCCTCACCGACTCCTGTATGCAGGCCCAGAGCAGGGGAGACGACGAGCAGACGGAGAACAAGAATATGTGGAAGGTCCTGCACCAGTTCCTCATCCATATGCCGGAGGTCCAGCATGCCATGGCGAGCTTCAGGCTGAGGAAGGAGCTCATGACTCCCGATCTCTTCTACCACCTGTTCAACTCCAAGAAGATGAATCGCAGGTGCTTGAACGAGGTGTTTGATGAGAAGAACATCAAGCTCTCCGAAGTTCTGGTGAAGCTTGGCATCGATCCTACTACTATCCCTTCCTCCTGGCAGAACGTCAATCTCTTCAACTCGCAGAACGACGAGGCCAACAGGAACTCCAACGTCTTCAACATGGTGATTGCGGGCCAGAACTGCGCGCTGACGGTGAACATCATCTCTCTCTTGCTCATCGCGCCGATGTTCAGGGGTGACAACGTCAACATCCTCCATCAGCTCCAGCAGAAGCACACCATTGCCGAGGTGGTCAAGACCTCTATGGAGATGCGCATTCCCAGGACCTACTGGCCCGTGGACAAGATCCCCACACTGCAAGTGGACCACATGGGAGAGTGGGTGAACTTCAACATGCAATCTTGCAGGAGCCAGCCGCAGCTATCGAAGCAGTTCTTCAAGAGGATCAACGATGTGGTTTGGAACGGGACGGTGCCCAAGCTCAACAGCATGAAGAGCACGATGAAGCCCTTCTTTTTAGAGGAGCTCTACTGCTGCGGGCACTACGTCAACGTCTGCAAGAGGAAGGTGGACGGCATGGAGCTGAGCGACAACCCCGTCACCTGCGATGACTACTTCAACCTGATGGAAATCAACAACGATGCCTTCCCCTTCAGCTTCCCCAAGTTCACGGGCAACGGCAGGTATATCTTCACCAGGATCAAGCTCTGGTGCATCGTTGACATCCTCAACGACCACTTCGACATGCACATTTACAAGGTCTCGGAGGAGGAGGAGCTCGAGCTCAAGAGCCATCTAAAAGGCAGCCTCCAAGACCTCTTCAGGCTGATCTACAAGATGAAGGTTGTGCCCTTTCCCATGATCAATCACAAGAGATTGGTCTATAGCCATCCCGGAGTCCATGGCCTGTACAGGGATTTCAGGGATGAGATCGATGGCGGCAAGCCCATTGATTTTGGCACTCTGGTGCAGCACGAGGATGGCTCCTGGTGCTCTAGGGAGGGCAACTACCTGGTTGAGGTGAAGTACCTGGACGAGGACGATGAAGACAACGAGGGGAGGGGCTACCGCTTCGAGATCGGCTTGCACCACATCCATAAGGTTTTGGTGGCAGAGCTGACACCCATCCACGTCAAGTTCGATACCTTTCCGGACAACCTAGGTGCCAGCAGCATCGCTTACTTTAAAGATCTGACCGCTTTGCTTAGGTTTCATCTACCCCAAGAAGTTCAGGGTGAGCGAGGAGGGAGAAGAGTACGTCAAGGTCTTCTATGTCGCAGACGAAGACATCACCGTGTTCGTGGGCGTCAGCACGATGACCTCGGATGACATCAACGACAAGGTCAAGACCACCTGCATCGATCTTGCGGTGGAGGATATGATCTACAGGGCGAGGCCAGGGGACAACGTGGCGGATGTCTTAGCCTACAGGCAGTGACCAGATACCCGATAAGCCTCAGTAAAAACTATTTGAGCTCAAACCCCTTGATTCTTTGCAGTCCCGGATGCAGAGCTATTACAGCGGCATACTTCAGAGACCTGTTCATGAGCGGAAGGAGGCTTTAGATATATCAAAAGAGGCAGAGAGGCTCGAGAAAATGTTACCATCCAGTGAGGCGGAGGAGATAGACATAGGCAAGGAGGAGAGGCTGCCGCTGAACCAAGAATTCAAGGACATAGAGTCGCTCGACGGGCAGCATAGCCAAGTGGAGGCACTGGACCTGCACGAGAGGCTCAAAGAGGGGAATATGAACCTCTCCATGTTCAACCTTAAGTTCTTCTTCCATCCCAAGAAGTCAGAGGACGAGGGGCTCTGGAATGACTTCAAGAGCATGGCACTCGAACCTTCCTCCGAGGCCTACGAGGACGTCGAGGGGCAGATCTGCGAGGGGGAGAGGGTGCAGGATCTTCAGAGGGAGGTGGAGAGAGAAGGGATGCAACAGAGTCAGGAGTTGTTTACAATATCGGAGGCTTGAGAGTCTCTCTCTCCCCTCACTTCATTCCATTGTAATAAAGGGTGCTATACACCTCGTCCCCATTGATCGGGTTGTTGAGGACGAAGAGCTCTATGTTCTGGATCATGGGGAAGCTGAGAACCGGAAGCACGTGCCTCCAGCAGTCCTTCCATACGTGCTTGCACTGGTAGGCACAGAGGTAGAGCTGGAAGAGCTTGGTCAAGCTGAAGTGGGCCAGGGCGCTTATGCTCAGAGAGCCCAGGCATTCCATGCGGAACTTCGCCAGCTCCTCGAAGGCCTGCTTCTTGTAAGTGATCATCTCGATGATCTTCTGCAGGGTGGTGAGGTCTGGGTTGGTGATGGGGGTCTTCAGCACGTTCATGACCATATCTGCATTCAGCACCTTCTCGAGATATTCCTTGTGGTTGAGAGTCGGCATGCTCATGATGATGTAGGTCATGAACCTTGTCCTCTTGCTGATGGTGTTTGGGAATCTGACGTAGTTCAGCCAGGAGTCGAAGCTGTTCATGTTATAGACCGTCTTGATCCTGTCATCGGTGTGCTTGGCCACCAGGCTCTTCAGCCTCGGCCTCCCCTTGTGCAGTTGCAGGATCTTCTGCCTCATCTCAAACTTGGCGTTCTCCCTGATTGTCATGAATATGTTGATGTTGTGTATGAAGTCGTTGCTGAGATGGCAGCAGGAGGTGATGGAGGATATCAGCTCGTCGTAGTCCTCCGTGTTGAACCTGTAGTCTGCATACTTGCTCGTGAACTGCAGGGCCTTGTTCCTCATGTTGCCCTCAAAGATCTCGACCAGGAACCTCTCCATGGCGATGAAACTTGTCAGACCCATGACGTTCATCAAGAGCAGGATCTTGCAGCTGTTGACGATGTCGATCTCTTGGTTGCCTATGAAGCCAACGGATTTGAGCAGGTTCGTATGGATCCTGAAGATCTCGTTGCCGGCGAGCTCGGCCTCAAGGTCCTCGGAGTTCATCCTGATGTGCTTGATGAACTGTATCCAAGTGGAAGTGTCTCCCAGGGTGTTGCTGTTCTTGAAGGCTATGTTCTCGTACACCCAGATCCAATTGACAAACACCGGGCTCTGGTACTCATCCCCGAGATTGTCTGTCTCCTCCTTGTAGGTGGTGAGGATGAGCTGCTTCACCTTCTCGTAGGCCTCCATGGATATCTTCAGATCGGACACTCTATCGATTAGGCTCTCAGTCTCCGGAAGGCTCTCTGCTACGGATTCCCCTACGGACTCCCCTATCGACTCACTGACGGATTCACTAACGGATTCTGTCTCTGATTCTGGATCCGAAGTCTCACCCTCTCTCAACCTATCGAGCCTCTTCCCAATGTCCTCTATGTCAAGGCTATGCTTGGCAGATGCCGCCCTGTCTCTCTGTTCCTGCAGGATCCGCTGGTTCCTATCCTCTCTCTTGCGGTGGGCAAGGAAATGAGCCTTGATGTGCTTGATGTTCTTCATGCAGGAGATGAGGAAGGGGACGATGCTCTCTGGGTCATTGTGGTCGACGCTGATGTTGGAACACCCCTGGACATACCTCCCCACAAGCTTCTCGGTCAGCACCTTCTTCAGGCTCTCTTCAGAGAGGTTCTTTACCGGCTCCGCCTTGGGCTGCGAGCACATTCTCTCCGCCTGCTTCCACTCCTGTGCGCTGATGCTGAAGGCGGACCTTGCCTTGACGTCCTTGCCAATCACCCTGAAGGGCATCTTCAAGCTTCCGAGGACCTTAATCTCCTTGCTGTGACTCTCCAGCGCATTCCTGTCTATGTTGCTGATGTCTATGGATGGAACCTTGTCGATGGAGGACAAGTTCTTCAATGCGCTCTCGTTCATAAAGTCTGGTTCGTGCCTTGCCTGTGAATCGAGTGAATTTAAATGACTGGATGAGCCATACATACAGATTTCATGGACTCGCGCTCATGGGCATGTCTTGGGCTGCGGCTTCCACTGCGGGACGCTGATCTTCAGGAGCTTCGAGGGCGTGAAAGGGTCCTGATTGATCCTTATGATGTGGTCCACCTCGTGCGGGAGGCTGATCTTGAGCTCCTCATACTTCTCCACCACGCTGCTCTCGAAGCCCACCCATTGCAGGCTGTAGATCGGGTTGCAGTGCTTCATGTTGCAGTTTGCCAGCAGCAGCTTGTATCTATCGTAGGGGCTTGTCTGCATGAGACTCTTCGAATCCAGCAAGGGGCAGTCGAAGACAAGGATCTTGGGCACGCTGGCCTCCAGAGTCACCTGGTCTTCCGTGTAGTGAGCAAGAAAGCAGGAGTTGGCTGGCACCGCCTTGCAGAGCATGAGATCCGGATGCGCCAGATACAGCTTGTCGTCCAGGAAGATAAGAGTGTTGCCATCCCGATCCACGTAGATCAGGAAGGAGACCCTGTGTTTTGGGAGCCAGGTGGCCATAGGCTGGCCCTGGATGGATTCTGGAGCTTGCTGCCCTGTCTTGAACGGCTTGGTCTCTACGATCAGTGGCCTTAGCATGTCCAAGGGTATGTTGAACACTTGGTATACCTCCATCAGGCACAAGTTCACCACAAACCTCTCCTTCATAATGCTTTCCATCTTTCAATGCTCCCAACTATTCAACAGCTCAAAGTAGAATTTGAATCGAAACTAAAAAAAAATGAAAGGATGTATTTAAGACTTTGAACCGAACTCGGAGTGACTTGTCAGAAATGGACGACAAAGATCCCTTTTCTCTGGCCATCGGAGTTGTGTATGTGATGCTGACCACCTCAGTCGGCATCTTCAACTTCTTACAGAAGTTCTACCCATCGTTGGAGCTGCTGAAACAGTGCAACGTTGAGATGAACCAGTACACAAGCAACCCTTGTGCCTGCTGGCGCTCCATCCGGCCTACCTACTACACCCGCAGGAACTATGAGAGTATTATCTACGAGCCGAACAAGATCCAGAGCCTTGTTCCTTTCCTTTTCGTTGCCCTGTCACTGGTGCTGGCGTTCATGAACAAGATCACGGAATTGTTCGACATGCTGCGAGTATGCAACTACGTCAACTTCTTCCTGTCCTACGTCGCGATCATGGATATGTTCTATTGCCCCGTAGAATACAAGAAGGTTGTCATTTACAGCTACTACAAGAACGATGCCATTCTCAACTTTGGTTTCATCGTGTTCACGGTCTTTATTCTGAAGCACTTTGTTCCGAATCTGTCGAGCATTGAGAACGAGAAGAAGAGACTAGCCTACAGGAAGAAGTATCTCTTCAGAAGCCCTCCCGTCTCGATTCTGTGGTTCATCATCCTTTGCACGAGCTTGTGGGGAATGTACGCTTACGACGAAGACAACGACGAGAACTTCCCCTACCGATGTGCTTGCATCTTGTTCTACTATCTGAGCATCGCGCAACTGCGACGCTCCGTGTTCTATGTGATGTACAGCAACAAGAATAGTGAGTACATGCAAGCCATCTGGAATACTAGCGGAGTATTCAAAACGTTGCGCAAAAGCACCTCACAATACTATGTGTGCCACGTGAGCGAATGCACGGCCAGTTTCTGTGCCAATGTCTTCGCCACCACTCTCGGGCCTCGGTACATGGTCGTCATCGACGATACCAACCCGATCAAGGTCATCTATTGCATCTACTGGAAGAATGGCACCACCATGAGAACGAATCTCTTTGGCACTTACAAAGATCAGGTCAAGGTAAAAACCCGCATCCTGCCCATCAGTGGACTGCGGGCGGTTGAAGTTGAGCTATTCGATGCCGATCCAAAGAACCAGACTTTCTACCTCCCTCGCAGAGGCCAACATGAAACTCCAAACGGCATCTGCAAGGCATTGATCGTTAAGCTTGGATCCCCCGACGCCAGTTTCACCATCTCCAAGTTGAAGACTGGAAAGAGCATGCAGGAGCTGAACGTGAATGTTATGTTCAGTGCCTACTTCATGTTTGATGATAATCCATATTGGAAGCAAGTGATCCAGTTCAACACTCTCTAAAAGCCGCACCGAGCGGATCAAGGTAGAAGCTATGAAGGGGCCTGTAATTGGGATTCTCTGAGCTGTAATAAACGTCCAAATCTTATACCTGTCTCCCTGCACGATATATAGCGCACCGCAATTACGCACTTGCATGCAGAGATGTCCATGAAATTGTACCTAGGTGATAAGCTTGACTTGGTCAAGGCAGATGATAAGATCGTGGTGGAGAACGTGGGGAGTGTGATCCTGAGCCTCGGGAAGGAATACGCCTTCCACGGCTTCGACATCAAGAAGAACGAAAGCGGCTACGTCCTCTCCGCCATGCCCTCCCCGCATTCCAACATATCGCTGCTTGACCTGCAGATGATCAAGGACTGCAACCCGGTCAGGGTGCAGGACGTGTTTGTGAGCCTGTCGGAGGCGGGGCTGAGGGTGAGCGTGAATATCCTGAGTTCCAACGTCCCCGTCATCCTCACGGAGACCGACGTTATCAGGGTGAAGAAGAGGAGGATATGGAATTTATTTCATAAACCCTGATACCTCACTGATGGAAGATCTCCTTGTGTGTGATGAACTTGGGAGGGTTTTTGCTCCTGAACCTCTCTATCACCTCTGCAACCTCCCACTTTGAGTTTCTCCAGGGGCAGGGGCAAAGGTGGTCCACCGGGCATCTCCTCTTCTGCAGCGGGCAGTAGATGCATCGCTTCGAGCGGGGGAAGAGGTTCGGATAGACCCTGCCCATCACCTTGCTCACCTCCTTGCTAAGCCTTTCCATTCACGTTTATTCATTACTGACTGTCCACGTACTGATTTTTAACTTAACTTTGAGTAAAAGATTCGCAGTATGAGAGGGTGTCCAATAGCACGAGTCTAAATAGCATGTTTAAATATTGAAATTAAACCGTATATTTTTATAATGGGCCGGAATGACTGGGCTCGGAGTCCGACTCAGTGGCCCGACGGGCCCGCTGTGACAGTGTCCAACCGTCTGAACTGCGGCTGCCGTGCATTCAGTTATCATCGGACGGCCGCACAAACAATCCGGATATTTTAACTGGTAGAACGTCGGGCAGAGCGACGGCCGGGCGCCGCCGGGGCCCGAGGGAGCCTCGGCCCGGAGCTAGTCACTGAGTACTGATGGAGCCCCAAAGGTTAAGCTAACCGGGAGATCGGCCTCATCGAGCTCGACCCGCCCCCCACCCCCTCCCCCCCCGGGCCCGGGTGATCGGACCCAGTATCACTGAGTAGTAGTGCCGCACTGAGTGACGTACCCCGGGCGAGGGTTTCAACGGCCAGCTCAGTAGGAACTCACAGTTGGGTGATGGAACGTGAAGTCCGATGCGGTTCCATGCGGTCAGCACGTACTAGGCTACGCCATGATGAGCCAGAGATGAGAGGACGACAGCTGATAGTACAGCATGCTACGGCATGCCGCCATGATGATCTAAGTCTGGCTCAGTGAAGCCGCTGCTCAGCCGCTGCTGCTGCTGCTGCTGCTGTGAAGGAAGTTACCAAGGGAGGGGCTGGTGAACAGCAGCAAGGAAGATGAGATGCTTTCCTACCACCGAGTGGAAGCACAACCCATTAAGCGCCCGCGAGCATGGTGCCCATGCCAGTGTGGAGGAAGACTGGCTCCTGACAGAGCAGCTGCAAGGGAAGAGGAAGACATACGCGTCGTCCTATGACGCCTCCTTCATCTTCGAACAACTTTGGAAGAAGAGGTTTTACGATCACAAGGGAAGGAAGATCCTACCGAGGAGCTGTCCGGAAGTGAGGATTCCTGATACTGTGATCTTTAGAGGAGGATTTCCTGTGCAGTGGTACTTCCATTCCAAAGTGGACGGGAGGTTATTGAGGAAAAGGGTGGAGTCGATCACGGCACCGAGCATCCTTGAGGTGTTTCTTGATGGGGGGCAGGAGGAGAGCAGTATAGTTGCGCAGTTTATAGGGATGCACAAGAAGAACAACAAGGTCATCAACAACATCGTTTACTTCGACAGCAAGAGCTTGCAGAAATTCCTGTTGGGGGAGAGCTATGCGATCGACGGCTTCTTGCAGAGGTTTGTGGATGTTGAGCAGGAGATGTTCGACTTCCCCCATCACAACGTGACGATCTATAGCACCTGGTCTCAGTATGCCTGCAAGGCAGAGCACAGAGTGAGCAAGGTGAGGATGGACTCTGGCAAGCACCGCATGACAGAGAAGTTGGACATCAGTCCCACCAAGGTTGACGTCGAGCCCATTTCCAGCAGCACACGGTTACACAAGAAGATCGCGCGGCTGTGCCATGTCATCGCCGACCACATCCGAGCAACTTCGAACGACAGCACTGAGGTCACCAACATGACTTGCTACTTCAAGATCGGAGCTCGCAAGAGGCTCTGGCTCCTTTGGGTCAGTTCCATCGCGGTCGGCGCCAAGTTCCAGGACGCGTTCGGGTACATACAGTCCCTCAAGACTTTCACAGGAAGACACTCGCCCGAGCTCGTGTGCTCTGAGTTCGTTGGCGCGATCGACTACCGCGCCATTCACGAGAGCAAGCCGGAGGCGATATCCTCCTGCGCGCTGTGCAACGTGACGCAGGAGGAGAACAACGACTGTGCCTCGTACGCGATCTCATACCAGATGCTGTCCAAGTACGTCCAGAGGCAGCGGGAGAAGTGGATGGAGGAGAACCAGGAGCTGAGCATCAGCTCTCAGGTGGAGGAGGAATGGGGTCATGGAGACGCTCTGCTTGCCAACGTGAGGGTGCGAGCGAAGACGATCTTCACTTGCCTCAACGTCCTCTCGTCCAAGAGCATGGAGGAGTCCCAGCTCTGGTGGGGCCTCTTCGACCTCGGGTTTGAGCAGGCCGAGGTGGAGATGCTCTTCCAGCAGGTCGCTGAGCTGAGAAGGGAGAGAGGAGACAGACCGCCCCTCGGCAGCCATGGCGATACTGGAGGAGAGGGCAGGAGCAGCGCTGCTCTCGTGTCCTTGGACGAATTCGAGCATGCGCTGTCCAAGCTCGTCTTCTCGCTACCCAAGGAGCGAGGGCTCGTCCTAACCCGCAGCGCAGATAAGAGGCTGGAGATCGATGGGATGGACGACACTGCCCAGAGCGTCGGCTCGTCGGAGGACGGGAGCAAGGTCGGGGCCCACAGGAAGGATGCTTCAAGGGCGGAGGCCAGGAAGCAGGACCAGCGCGCCCTCGTGCGGAACCTGCCGAACCTGGCGATGCGGCTGAGGGGTCGCATCAGTTTCAGCGACCTGCGGAAGATCCTCTACTCGAGCTCGCTCGACAGCGACGCCGGCGCCAAGAAGATCTGGGTGTGCAGGAGCTGCGCCATGGCGTTCAACAAGGACGCGCGGGAGATGTTCGAGTGGAGCGAGGCTGTGCATGGGGAGAGGCTGCGAGTGCAGGCCAAGAGAAAGTTCAAGATGCTACAGCAGCTCGACGAGCTGACGGACGCCCGTCTGCCGCACAGCTACCCCCTCCGAGAGCTCCCTGCCCTCTGCACCCCCCGCATGTACGAGGCTCTGCACTCGCACGCTTCCAGGGCGAGCAGGCCGGCGATCCCGCGAGGCGATACGGGAAGGAGCCTGTGGAGACAGAGGACTAGCGAGTCAAGGTAAGAGGAGGGAGCGGGGGTAGAGGTCTGATACCGCATGCTCCCCAGCAAAACCGATCAATCCAGAGGACTGCCAGCCATCGGGTTGTCGGCTCAGGATGTGAATCGCATGAAGACTTCGGAGCTGGTGGGTTGAGGAGGAGGGGGAGGGAGGAGGAGGAGGGGGAGGGAAGGAGAGGGAGGGAGAAGGAGGAGGGGAGGAAGGGGGAGGAAGGAAGGGAGGAGAGGAGGGAGGAGAGGAGGAGGAGGGGAAGGAGAGGGAGGGAGAAGGAGGAGGGGGAGGAAGAAGGAGGAGAGGGAGGGGGAGAGGGAAGGGGGAAGGAGGAGAAGTGCAGGTCAGAAGAGAGGGAGCACGAGGGTGGACGAAGGAAGGGGGAGAAGAGGAGGAAAGAGATGGAGTGGGTGAGACGACGGAAGTCAGAGGAGGAAGAGGAGGTCGGGAAAGGGGCAGGGGAGGGGTGGGATGCTAACAAGGGTGTACAGGAAGACATCATGAACAAGCTCGGGTTGACCCCTCGTCGGCCGCAGCCGCTTGAGAGGAAACCGACGCTGAAACAGTCGAGAAGTATGAAACTTTTTCTTGATGCATGAAGAAAAATTCTTGCGCCCCAGCAGTCCACCCACCTCACTTTCCCAGCTGAAGTTTGTGGGCCACCACACAGCTGGTGCTGAGCACGAAATCAGATGCGAGCAGAAGCTCTCGAGTTCCACCTGCAGTACTTGAACCCCAGCCTCTCGAAGGGCGCGCTGCTGGCCTTGACCTTGCACATCCTGCTGGGGAGTGAGCGAGTGGGAAGAGGATGAGGAGGCAGAGGAGGTCACAAAACGAGGACAAGGACAAGGACAAGGACAAAGACGAGGACGAGGACAAGGACCAGGACGAGGACAAGGGCGAGGACAAGGACAAGGACAAGGACGAGGACGAGGACAAGGACGAGGACAAGGACAAGGACAAGGAGCGGGAGATCTTACTCGCACTCGAACTCGGGATGCTTGCTCGTCACGCCCAGCCGACGTTCAGCTGCAAGCGCTCGCAGCTCACGGTCACTGAGTTTGACCTGAGACTGGAAGGAGAGTGAGGGGGAGGAAAGAGGTGAGGGGGACGAGGGAGAACACCTCTTGTACAGCACGATTCTTCTCTTCCTCCTCCTTCTTCTGCTTCGCCTGCTCCTTCTTTCTGCGCTGCTAGAGAGTGAAAGGAATAAAGGTGACAGCGGATGGAAAACCTCCTGCTCTTTCTTCCGCTGCTTCTCCTTCTCCTTCTTCTCTGCAGCTGCAAGACGGTAACGGCCATGTACAGAGGAAAGGAAGAGGAGGGCAGGGGAGGCAGGGGAGGGAGGGGAGAAGGAGAACAACCTTTCTGTTTCTGCTGCTCCTCCATCTCGATCGTGAGCATGCTCGGAATCTGAAAGAGGAAGTGATCAGAGGAGATAAAAGTCAGAGCGGAAAGAATTCTGGAAGGAAAGGCAGTGAAGTTACTCAAGTGAGGAGACACGACAAAGAAAAGTCATCTCACAAGTGCAAACAGTGACTTTCTGCGGGTGAGGAGGAAAATCACAAGACGATGAGGAGGAGAAAAGGAGCATAGCGTATGAGAAACGTGCCATGTCGCCGAGCTAACCTGCGACTTTGAGTAATCCCACTTGTCGGGTTCAGAGGCCCAGAATCTGACAAGGACAAAAACTATCAGAGCTCAGATCTTTCACTCTTCTCTTCCCTTGAGTTCCTCCTCCTGCTTCTGCTCCTGCTCCTGTTTCTGCTCCTCCTCCTGCTCTCGCTCCTGCTTCTCGTCCTCGTCCTCGTCCTCGTCCTCGTCCTCGTTCTTCTCCTCCTCCTCGTCCTGCTTCTCCTCCTTCTCGTCCTCTGTTCAAGCTCTTGCCTCACCTGCGGAAGGCATCCCGCTCCTCCTTGCCCTTGCAGAGCTCGTAGGGGACCTGAGAAGAACCATCTGAGTCAGACAAGATGAGGTGAAGAGAAAAGAAGAGGGGAGGAGGGGAGGGGGAGAGGAAACGCGAGTTGGGCAGGATAGAGGAGGCAAAGGTAGAGTGGAGCAGAGGAGGGGAGGGAAGGGCAGGACAAGGAGGGGAGGGGAGAAAAGGGGATGTAGAGGGCAGAAGGGGAGAGGAGAGAAGGAGATGCAGAGGGCAGCAGGAGAGGGGAGAGGGCAGGCTAGCTTCAACCTTGCCGGATCCGTCTCGTTGGGTTGGATCGGCGCCGAGAGAGAGCAAGAAAGAGACCTGGTGCAACTTGTCAGGGCTGAACCAGACTTGACAGGTTTGACCATGCGAGCATGGCCGGCGAGGGAAGCACAATGGAGGGGAGAACGACGGTTAACAGGCTCAATGACGTTGATAGCGCTCTCATCTGCGTTCCTTAGGTCAACGGGCCACAAGGTTGACTCTTTGAAGATGAATTTTCAAAACCAAGGAGGAGATTTTGTGGGGAGTGAGGAATTTTGCCGTGGAGGTTTGAATCTTGCCAGAGGCGGAGCTTCTTACCTTGATGGACTAAAGCTCTGATCGCAGGTTCGTCCCTCTGACCCGCGAATTCATAAAGATTGCCAGCCACCACCACCACCACAACCACTTCCTCCTCCGCCTCCACCTCCACCACCTCCATCTCCTCCTCCTCCTCCTCCATCATCATCATCATCATCATCATCATCTCCACCACCACCACCACCACCATCATCATCATCTCCACCACCACCACCACCACCACCATCATTATCACATCGTCATCACCACCACCTCCTCCTCCTCCACCGCCCTCAGTCTGCATGCATCTCCATCAAACACCCCACACCTTGGAGACGAGAGAGAAGATAGCAGGTTCATTCAGTCTTTCCTCCTCCACAGACCTTGTCCCAGTCAGCCTTCAACCACCTCCACCTTCACCGCCAACTTGCACCTCGTGGCAACAGCAGCCGCTGGAGCAGGAGGAGCTTTCTTCACTCTCACCTTGCGCACCATCACCTGCCTTCGAACCTCCGACACCTCCTGCAGGCTCTGCCACCAAGTCGTCACGCCAGGCTTGAAGGAGCAAGACCATGATGATGCAGACCATGATGATGTGGTGGACTCGATCGACTTCTTTGAGGACGGGGCGTCTTGTAGGAAACGGAACTGACGTCTCACTCAGCAACCGCAAACAAGAAGGTGTTGGGACCATGACGGATCCTTGGGTCGTCCTTCCTGACCACCTGACAACCGAAGATGGAGTTCCTGTTGACGATGCCGGGAGCAAAGACGAAGATCAACAAGCAATCGTCCAAGTCTGCGGATAGAGTCAGGGAAGTCATGGGAGGAAGCGATGGAGAAAGGTACCCTGTTTCCACGATGACAGCAAGTCAGAGATGTCTTTTTCGAGCATCTGCTCGTTGTATCTCCTCAAGCTGATATCAAACCATTTCATCGTCACTCTCATCATCATCACAAGTGGGTGGAAAGGAAACCTTGACCCTGCTGACTTGGGCACGCTCGATCCCCCCATTGCGTCTCTTGTAGCCTGATAACGACAAGTGAGAAAGCAGGAGAGGAGAGGACAACAAAGACGAGATGAGACAGAGAGCAAGCAGAAGCATTCTTCCCCTCTTTGTCTTCTTGTCTTTACCTGCCTTGTTCCAGCTTTGGCACGGATGACATATCTATCGATGTATTGATGAGCAACAACATGGACAAAGTTACTTTGATGTAAGAGACCTTTGAAATGTCTTGTGGCGCAAACATTCGTCTCCTTTGTAGATCTGACCATCAGGTTAGTCAAACAGCTCAAGTCTCCTTGCAGCACCCTACACAGGCTGCAAAATGTCCTCCACTGGCGAACAAGTATGCAATCTTTTCAAAGCTCTAAGTTATGACATTGCGGAGGCAAACAAAACGACCTTTCGCTTTCGGAGCTCAATCAGCAGTTCCCCAATATTCACATCCTGGCAAGTGGCACATCAAGAGAGGAAGGAAGGTGACAACATCAGGCTTGCCTCCTGATCTTCTCCTCCCTTGTTGACTGGGAGCAAGACACGAAAGATGCCAAGTTTCTGGTTCCCATACTCCTTGGCAAGGTTTTGGGGAAGGTCAACAGGTACGATGTTGGATCTTCATCAGTGGATGTCAGCATCCTCACCATGAGAACAATCTCACAACTTCTCCCATCTTCGTTCTGCCTCCTCGTCCTCTTCCCAGTCATCCTGCGAAATCCCCATCTCTCGCTATCAAAACCATCAGCATGGCGGTCTACCCCCTAGGCGCAGACCTGAGCCTGCAGAAGCTCTCGCAGCTCCTCCTCCTGCCAACGAAGCTGACTCATCATGCTGACACCACACGGGTGCCTCCTCCTCTCCTCACATCGTCCTCCGAGTACTCGCTCTCTGATCCGGAGCTGCTCTCTGCGTCCTGCCCATGGCTAGTCAAGAAACAACCGCCCGCCTCGTGCATCGCGACCTGAAGCTCGTCCGACAGCTTTTTGAACTCTTCTTCATCCACAGCATCAAGGCCGCGGGTGATCCGAATCAGGTTGAAGCGATGCCAGCCGCTCTTATAGTGATCTGCAAGCTCTTCTCTGCCATGAATCGTTCACTATGTGTGCTTGCGCTTTGTTTTGATCTGACTTGCAACCTTTTCACTCTCCTGTTCCTTCCAGTCCCTCACTACTTCTACCCCCACCCCACTCTTCTCCCTATTCTTCCCTCTCCCCTCCCCTGTTCTCCCTATCCCGCCCCCCCCTCATTTCCCTTGCTGTCGCATCTGGAGCCTTACCTCGTGGCAAACACTACACCAGGAGCTGTCCTGGAGGTTATGCCGGCGCTGGTCTCGTCGTCCCCATCATCTGCTCACACGATCAGATCCCCAGCGAGGCAACAGGAGCACAGGCTCCTACTAGCTTCTGCATCTGTTACACCTTCCCTCCTCCACTTCTCCTCTCCCTCTGCTTCGCAAACCACCCTCACAATCCACAAACTGTACAGAAATCGCAGACCCACACACCTTTCTTGGCTCCAGTTTGAGCAGATCCATGGCTGTCGTGCGCTCCGATCTCTCCCATTCCCTCCCTCCCTTCCTCTCTCATCTCTTCCTCCTGCCATGGCTTCTCATCGCGCCGGCGTATCAGCGCCGCATCCTCCTCCCGCATCGCCAGGAACGAGCGCATGGCAGGATCCCTACAAAAAGTGTGGTGCACTGGGGGTGGAAACGGTAACTAAATACTTTACTCAACAATCTTTACTCAACAACCTGGCTCTAGATTTGGCAGGACCTCATGTAAATATCTTAGAAGCCCACTTAGAGAATCAGCCACCTTGACCAGGGTACCCAAAGGGAAGTTTCAGAACTCGCATCCAAAAAATAGGATGCATTTATACTTTGTATTTGATCAAATCAAGTTTAGGAGGATCATTTCAAAAATAAACTCAAAACTAGCCTGAAAGGTGAAGGGAGCTTTGACAGGTTTGATCTTTGCGATATGATACCGAACACAGGGCGCAGAGTAGAAGAGGAGGAGCAGTAGGAAGAGGAGGAGGAGGAGGAGGAGGAGGAGGAGAAGGAGGAGGAGGAGGAGGAGGAGAAGGTGAAGCAGGGAGATCAACAAGTGACTGAGCTATCGCAACCATTTGAGATGAAACGGGGCGTCCTCTTCGTATTACTAGCGATCGTTTCGATAGCAGGTACGCTCTTCTGCCCGTCTCCTGGTCCCACTTCCCTGCTTTCAATCTCTAGCAGGTCCAGTTTCCAGTAGCTTCTCTGTCGAGAACCCACACGACAAAGAGGATGCGGCGGGTGTTCGTCACCTAGCAAGGAGGTCGCAGCAGCACGGACTCTATGATGTCTGATTGCGATTTCAGGATGTTGAGAAGCGAGATCAATGGAGTTGGGATGGTGGGATGAAGAGGAGGATGGGAAGAGGTGTGAGAGGTTGTGCAGTTGTCGGAGGATGATGTCAGTTTGCTGTTCCTTCGGCTAATGGAAGAGTTCAACATCACGGCAGAAACAAGTGAATTTCTCGATGATGATGATGATGATGATGATGATGATGAGTGGTGCTGATGGTGGAGGTTGATGGTGGAGTTTTATAGAGATGATATTGACGATGATGATGATGATGATGATGATGATGATGACGATGACGATGAGTGGTGATGATGATGATGATGATGATGATGATGATGATGATGAGTGGTGCTGCTGCTGCTGCTGCTGCTGCTGCTGCTGCTGATGATGATGATGATGATGATGATGATGATGATGATGATGATGATGATGATGATGATGATGATGATGATGATGATGATGATGATGGTTGGTTTCAGCTCGAGAGTCTGTGATGAGAGTCAATGATGCATTTGCCAACTTCAAGCGCAACGTTGTGCGATATGCTCAGCTGGAGCGAGAAGGCGAAGAGAGAGGAGGTGGGGAGGGTGAGAGGGAAAGAGGGCAGAAAGATGATGGTTCGATGGCGTGCAGTGCAGGTTGAGATCGCGTTGAACGAGCTTGCAATCATTTCAGAGGATGAATGGATTGAGATGGGATTATTGGGGAAGATGGACCTTGTAATGCCCTTCTCTCTGAAGAAGATCCGGTGGGCCCAAGAAGAGATCGGCATGCCACAAGTGACTGGTTTCACGTCAGGCACTTCACCACCGCTCCTCAGGGGAGGCTCGACTGGAGGATCAAGGGTCAGCCATGAGGGTTGCTGATCAACTCAGTCATGGTTGCAATCAGGGGATGTATCCGCTCATTCCTGTTGCTGTGGAGAGGATTTTCCTCCCGATGACGCAGAAGCTAGAGGAGGAGACGCGGCTGCTGAACAGAGCTGTTTGCTTGAGCTGACTTATTGCACGCCTTCTCTCACGTTTGCATTCAGAGTCGCCTCTACGGATCGATCGCGATGAAAGCAAGATGCCTGGATTACCTCTACTGCCATCTCCTCTTCAGCAAGAGACTCAACTCCACAGGAGAATGCTCTTCCTTGCTCCCTGATGGAGGTTTCGCCCACCTTGCAGGTTCCCTAGTCCTGCTATCCTTGCAAACTTCACTGACGATCATCATGCTGTACTGCTCCTGTTTACAGCTTCTTCCCCAGAGCTTGCTGCGAGTCTGCGCGACCTGCCCGTCAGCAGGGACGCTGTCTTCCGCGGGGGAAGCTGGAGGTGGTGAGAGGAGGGGAGAGCCGGCAGAGGAGCAAGGAGTGGGTGAGGCCGAGGGCGCCTGTTGATGACAGGGAGGAGGAGAGAGGGTCAGTTGTCACGGAGAGCAACGAGGAGAGGTGAAGTGAGGTTGTGTTGGGTTGTGAGGTCTTAGAAGAAGCAACAGGACTGCAAGAGCTCTGCGATTTCTGGCGGAAAATGGTGAGGAAAAGAGGGCAAGGAGGAGGCGGAGCATGCTGCTGCTGAGGGAGATGATGATAGTGATGATAATAGTGGTGGTGATCACCAGCACCACAATCATGATATGTTATCACGCCGCTCAAGTTTGAACTTCCAGACATTGAGTTTCGTGAAGTCCCCGCTGGAAGCGAGTTCATGCTGCAGGTCTTCCTCCTCCTCCTCTTGCTCCGCCACCACCTCCCACCTTTCACTCTTCTCTCCTTCTGATCCCTCCCTCCCCTTCCATCACCTTGCCCCTTCCCTTTCCCTCCTCTATCATCTCCTTCACCTCTGCTCTCCTGTCCTTCACTTCTCTCTCCGCAGGCTTCAGTCGAGCAGTATGGCCCTGTCGTAGTCGCCATCGACGCAAGCGACCCTCTCCTTCAGGTCCTTCACCTCCCTGCCGCCACCGCAACTCACATCATAATGTCTTCTCCTCCTACTTCAGATGTTCTATCTTTGCTCTAAACCTTGCTCTGAAACATTTGACTGGATCTTCAGTTCTACAGGGACGGAGTTTATTCCTCCTCCTCCTCCTCTTCCTCCTCCTGCCAAGCACGTTCGCCAACTCATGCTTTCCTGATCATTGGATATGAGGTTTTCTTGACTTATTATCCTCTATTGCTCTCCCTCCTCGTTTTCCTTCTCTCCTCCCTTCCTCTCTGCCCTGCCACAACTTTATCCTGCTCCCCTCCTTTCACTCGTCACTCCTCCCTTGGTCTTTCTCTTCTTCTCTTCTCCAAGTTTTCTGTCCCACCTTGCTTACTTCTAGCAGGATCATGATGCAGACCCTTACTGGCTCGTCCAGGCGCCGTGGGGAGCGTCGTGGGGTGAGAGCATCAGACAACCTGCCCCTGCCCCTGCTGCTGCTGCTGCTGCTGCTGCTGCTGCTGCTGCTGCTGCTGCTGCTGCTGCTGCTGCTGCTGCTGCTGCTGCTGCTGCTGCTGCTGCTGCTGCTGCTGCTGCTGCTGCTGCTGCTGCTGCTGCTGCTGCTGCTGCTGCTGCTGCTGCTGCTGCTGCTGCCCCTGCTGCTGCTGCTGCTGCTGCTGCTGCTGCCCTGCTGCTGCTGCTGCTGCTGCTGCTGCCGCTGCCGCTGCCCCTGCTGCCGCTGCCGCTGCCGATGCTGCCGCTGCCGCTGCTGCTGATTTCATCAGTGCCTCATCCCATTTCTCCTCCTCCTGCTCCCCCTCACTCCACCCTCAGCTCTCTGATTTTCCTTTACTTGCTCGTTTCGCCCTTCTCTCCTCCTCTTCCTCCTCATCTTTCATTGATCTTTTTCCACACGCTGACGGTCAAGGACAAGGTCGGGGAGGTGTTGGCAAGATTAGGAAGGGAACTAATGCATGCGGCATCGCCACCAACGCCATTTATGCCGCGCTAGTGCAGGAGGAGATTGTAGAAGACAAGAAGGAGATCATGTAAGGTGGAATGGAGGAGGAGGAGCGGGTTTCACAGGAGGAGCTGGCAGAGGGAGGAGGAGGAGGAAGAGGAGGAGGAGGAGGAGAAGGTAATGGGAATGTAGCCTTGTGAAATGTTGTGCAAGGATGAGTTGGAACAATCCAATTGTTGCTCCTCATCCCCGCCCCTCTCCATCTCCTCTCACCCGCTTCATCCCCATCCCCATCCCACAACGAGACTTCACTATCACAAGTGTTCACTCATTCATAAATTCATCCTCCTCCTCCTCCGTTCCTTGTTCTTCTTCTCTTCACCCCTCCTCCTTCTGCGACAGCAGATGCAGCAGCTCCAGGTCAGGAGGAGCCATCCTCCTCGCGAACAGGAGGAACTCTTTCCTCTTTCTCTCCCCAGCTCCGCTCACCGCCTCTGACAGATCCACCACCTGCCCAGAGTAGCAGCATCCTCGCCTTGTCACCGTCATGCTCGCTGTGCTGTAAACCTGCATGCGACTACGGAACGACTGCAAGAGGTACACGCTCACCCTCTTCATCCTCACCTCAGTCACCCTCACTCCTTCCTCCTCCCATCCCCCGTGCGCCACGTACCCCATCCAGGTCCCCGCATGCGAGGGGTGAGGGTACGGCGTCCCATCTAGCTTGATCCTGAACGCCTCCTCCCACTCAGTCTGCAGCTCCCCCACGCGGGGAGGAAGTCTCATCCTCAAGTGCGCGAACGCGCAGGGGATCTGCTCATGGTTGAAGTCGAGAACTAAGTGCAGCTGCAGCATCTTCATCATCGCTCTGCCCTCGCTCCCTCCCTCCTCCTTGACGTACAGCTGGATACCCTCCCTCACACCCTCCTGCGCCAGGAGCCTGGCGAGTGCCGCGTCCATGAGCGCCGATCCGGTCCCGAAGCAGCGGATGAAGCTTTCCTCAACCTCCCAGGGGAAGCAGGAGGAGGAAAGCTCGTCCATCTCAAAGATCCCGCTCAGCCGCATCATCGTCTGCTTATCCCACTGCGAGCTCACCGGCTCCTCCCCCTCCTGCGCAGGATGGCGGCGGAAGAAGAGGAACGCGAACCCTCCGGCCTCGTTTCCCTCCACGTCCAGGTACTCGGCGTTCATCCCGCTGCTCGACGTCAATAGGAAGCGCAGACAAGCTTGCGCCCCTCCCTCCATTCTGAGCTGCCGCTCGAACTCCGCCATGACATGCGCATCACCAGGGAGGATGAAAGTCTGCAGGTACTGCCCGATGGGGCTCGGGAGGGAGGGGAGGCAGAGCTGTCGCTGCAGCTTGCTGCTCATCGCGACGATCTGCATGTCTCGCATGCTCACGACTGCCATGGGGCAGGAGGAGCAGGACAGCAGCCCCTCTTTCATCTCCACCTCGCCCAACTCGTCTCCCTGCTTCAGCGGCTCCCTGCTGCTGTCGTAGCCCGATGGCAGGGTCGGGCTGCAGAGGATGCTCTTCATGTGCACCTGCAGGTCCTCTAGAAGCTGCAGCACAGTCCTCCTCGACCCTAGCTTCCCTCCGTCTGGCCTCTGCCGCACTGGTACCAGGGCATCGAGCCTTTGGTGCAGCTCCTTCGTTCGCATCCTCTGGTACTGCTTGTTCAGCCTCTTCTGTATGTTGTCCTCCTTCTTCACCACCACGCTCTCCGTCCCCTGCTCTCGCTGCTTCGCATGCTCCTCCTCCCCTCGGGGACAGGCAGTCTCCTGCGGGGAGTCGGGACCTCGATGGCTCATCGAGCCTCTTCCTCCTAACTCGTCATGGTCAACTTGACGAAACTCTGAAGGCTGGGGTAGGAGGCTGCCGACTTGATCCTTGAACAGACAAGAAGGATGGCCGGACTTCACCCCCCATGTCTCGCAGCTCCGCCTCGAGGATCTGGGAACTTGGTCAGCAACCTCCGTCAAGACGTACACCATCACATGGCAGACAGCTACTTGGAACATGGGCCGATGACCTAACCTACGTGCCCTTGACAACACTTGCAAACAAGATCGACAGCGAGTGAATTTCGCGTTGGCCTCCTGCTGTAAATTCCTCCAGACAATCTTTCATGCACGCGACATTTACAGCCCCGTCATCGTCTGTGAGCGATTCCTTGCCCATTTTGCAGAATCATGTTGTACGCTATCTCTCATTCCTATTGGTTAAGATTTGTGTTGCTCCAAAATGACAATTCCATCCATCCTTGCGCTGCTCTTCTCTTTCCTCCCTATGATCATTGCTCCCTCCCACAATGCCACATAGCTCTCCTATTCTTCTTCAATCCATCCAATCCACCATATGTTTCCCCTTCCAAATCCTGCTCCTGCTCCTGCTCCTGCTCCTGCTCCTGCTCCTGCTCCTGATCCTGATCCTGCTCCTGCTCCTGCCCTCGATGCTACTGCTCCTCCTGCTCCTGCAGTTGCGCTATGCCATAGCCACACACTCCAAGTACCAGCATTTGCAGGACCTGGCGTCTGTGTACAAGACAGTCAAAAACTAAAAGATTATAGAATTTGTTACTACCGAGACGGTCGGTCGATACATTTCGATACCTCAATGATTCATCCTACAAGTATATTTGAGTTAAAACTCAAACCCCCGTTTCGCCATCTTCCCTTGGAACACTCATGTCCTCCTGCATACACAGGGGATTCGAAACCCCCACCTCACCAAATTGTACCCCTACCCCCTCAATAAACAGAACAATCGATCGTACCCCACCTTTCCTGAATAAAAACTGTGTCTGGAACCCAGCGTTCCCCTATGTAGTGTTCCCCTATCTACAAGTACCCTTGAAAAAGATACCCCTACCCCCAAGAAGTCGGAACTCCGAGCCCATTACGACCCTGACCCCCATTTTACGAGTGGTCAGCCAATACGTACCTGTCTGAAAATGTTTTTGAAAGCACGTACCAAGTTGCGAAACCAGAACTTATCGATTACTCCTCCTTCTGAAAATCTTGAGATGTTCTAAGTATGCAGCGTTTCAGAAACTCATTATTTGAAAAGGAAGGGTTTCGAATAATACTTTAGAACGTATTATTCGTTACGAGAACCGTTACTTTGGTACTGTAATGTTCCAGGAGGTGAAAACCACGACCATGGGCGATGGAGAGCAAGTGGAGGGGAGGCAGCTGAAGGAGGAAGGCCAAAGACGAGGGATCAGCTGAAGGAGGAAGGCCAAAGATCGGAGGCGAATGACCCGACCAAAGAGCTGATGGAGGATCTTGAGGAGCCTGCTGCCAGGAGACAGCGAATGGCACGCGACGCGGAAAATGAGAGAGACCGAGCGCTTCTACAACATCGAGACTGAAGCATCCCAGCTTGGGCTGGTCAAGCTCTCCCTCATAGAGAGCAAGAGACAAGCCTTCATCGCGAGAGCTAGGCTCAGGTCCTTCGCTGCCCCCTCGATCACTCGCCTTATCTGCTTCGACAGGCTGCTGTACACCTGCTCTGGGCTGATTTCCGGCAGCACATCGCATGTCTCCGGGTCTATCTATCCCGCAAAGTCTCACTTCTCGCTGTAGCACCAGACGTTGATGATCATGATCGGACTGCCAGCGTCTTGACGGCCTCATAGTCGTCGATGTAGCAGCTCATCGTGTCTTCCATGGTGGTGATCAGCAACTCGTCTTCGTCTCCGCATGTCATACTTAATGGTTGCTCTCCCACAGGATCTGCTTCCTCCTTAGCAGGTCGGACGGCAAGACAATGCGGGTGTGGGATGTAGAGACGGAGGCGTGTCAGCTTGTCCTCAGAGGACACGAGGGATACTATGTGGCAGAAGACGGGAGGGCGCCGCGTCTACCTCTGACGGCGTTTGTCAAGTATGGACTCGATCTCAGGACGGCGGCTGTTTGCTTCCTCGACATGTGCTCAGTTCGTTTGAGAGATCCTTGCAGTGTGCTGGTTCTCGGATCGATCAGACAGACCTGCCGGAGAATGTCTGGCGGCTGCTGGAGATGGGAGGAGCGGTTGCAAGCCGACCCGGAGAATGTCTGGCGGCTGCTGGAGATGGGAGGAGCCGTTGCAAGCCGACCCGGAGAATGTCTGGCGGCTGCTGGAGATGGGAGGAGCCGTTGCAAGCCGACCCGGAGAATGTCTGGCGGCTGCTGGAGATGGGAGGAGCCGTTGCAAGCCGACCCGTCTCACGGCCTGCGAAGCAGAAGAACAGCTGCTCTTGCCAGTAAGGACTGGGTGTGCAGGCACATAGGAGGGAGGGGGGCATGTTCATCAGCAGTGCCCCAGCCGGTCTGAGATTACTTGCAGTTTCTCAGTTTGTTTCTTGCATGAGGCAGCGAGTGAGTGTAGTGGTGATATCATACCCAAGGTGAGGCCAGGGACAAGAGTCCCGGGGTGAAGTGAAGATACACAAGGAAGCATAGGAAGAGACCGAGATGCAGACAGATCTGATCTGCACTTGAAGCGAAGTAGACACGAGGACGTAGGTTGACAGTGTGCCATGTTCCCAAAGGCCTTGGAGCGTTGAGTGCCATGGCACTTTGATGGCGGTTGAGGGGACATCAAAGAGAGTGGGTCCGGCGGTAACGGTCTTTTAAAGTATTCACATGAGATAGTCGATCTCCTACTGGTCCGACTCGTTCATATGTACATCCCTGACCACACCCGTCAGCCTTCTCCTCCTTCACCCCTCGCAACAGTAATCCCGCCTCTCACAGTCAGGGGCTACAGCTTTGCTCGCGCATCGACCTCTCAGCTCACATCAAGGAAGGGCATCAGCTACACTTGCACTTACTCGGCAGGTTGTCGAGCAGCCGAGCCGAAGTCGGGGTTCTTCCTTCGCTCCTCCTCGAGTCTCTGCAGCAGCTGTCAGCCTCGTCCTCCGGTCCTCCTCGCTCCTACCTGCATCACGACTGCCTGCATGTGCTCGAGGTTGTGAACTTCAAACTTCTCCTTGCATCCCCCCGCTGCCTCTCGCTTACTCGGGTACTGCAACATCGTTAGACTGCAAGCCTCCAGACCCAGCCCCAGGAGCTCAAGCGAGGCATCAGCAGGACATCACGGGTGAAGACGAGGGAGGGCGCGAGGAGGAGGAAGAGGAGGGGACTAGCACAGGCCTTACGTTCTCTCCCAGCGCGAGCTCAAGTCTGGAGGACTTGAGGTTGAGTAGGTTGAAGGCAGGGGCCAGCTCGATGCAGTTGCTGCTCACAGAACTCAGAAGGGAGGGCACAAGACAAGCAACCGACCTGAAGAGAGCTTGCCGACAGAACACGTACAGACCCAGACGAGCTCGCGACAGAGCCACAATCAGCCTCCTCACGTCTCGCAAGTGTCCGACAGTCTTGGTGCGCACCAGAGACAGCAGGATGTAGTCGTTCTGCTGCCCCTGGTACTTGTCCACCGTCGAAATCTTTGGCGGCATCCCCACCCCAGGGATGGACGAGCAGCGGAAGCGAGCCACGTCCTGCAGGAGGGCAACTTGCCCGTTGTACGTCGACAGGATGGTGATCTTGTCGGCCGGGTAGCCGATGATGCGCATGTACATGTAGACAGCGATGATGTACTCGGCTTCGGCGAGGTTCTGATAGAAGAAGGCAGTCGGCTCGCTCTCTCCCACTCCCCCAAGATCCTCCACGTTCACCAGCTGGAACTGATGAGCAAAACCAGCGTTGGCCAGCCGGAACATCTCCCGCCCTGTCACGTGCTCCATGTCCCCGAGCGACCGATATCGCCAGTTGTACAGCTTGGCTATCTCTGGCCTGGCTCGGCCCTGAGCATTGAGCTCGATGTAGGGGATCCCCAGGCGGACGAAGCGAGAAAACAAGCTTTGGTCCATCCTCGAGTACTTCTGGAAGGCAATGTTCTTGATCACCGGAGGAAGCTGGTTGTGGTCGCCGATGAGCACGACGCGCTTGAGCCGGCACTTGTTGCCCCTTCTCGGCTCCTGCAGCAGCATGGGGATGAACGTTTCGATCTCCAGGATCTGTGCAGACTCCTCCATCACCAGCGAGTCGAACTCGAAGCCCGACTCGATAAAGTCGTGCCGTTTCAGCGCCGCGTGCGTGCATGTCATGGCGATGATCTTGGCCTGTGTGGTCACAAGGTACTTGGCTCGCTCCTGGTAAGTTCGGAGGATCTCAAACGCTCGGCATTCCTCCAAGAAAGTGAACATGTACTGCACAAGCAACGTCAGCATCACTGTCAGACCCTCCAGCGCCTTACCTTGAGGTGTTGGAAGCAACCTTGAGCCGCCCTCATCGCATCCTTGCTATCCATGCTCGAGTTGAAGACTGACTCCGGCGCGTCGTTGAAAAACTCGTGGAAAGGAAACTGTTCGATGATCTTCGTCGCGTCGTTGCAGTCCTTGACGCGATCCTCAAACTCCTCCCACCTTGCAACGATGTTGAACAGGAAGAAGTGCTGTGCCGTCTCGCACGAGTACTCCACGTCTGCTGTGATCCCTATGCTCCGAGCCAGCCGCCCCACCTCCTCCAGCAGCTCCAGCCGCTTCCCCAGCATGTACTGGACGCGTCCCCACTTGGAGAAGTCTTCCTCAGTCTCGAGCGTCTCGGCCTCGTGACCCAGGCGCAGGAGATGTCGCTCGTCGATGTCGAGAGCAGCGATCTTCTCGAAGATGTCGTTGAGCGCCTGGTTCGAGTGAGTCACCAGCAAGATCCTCTGGTGAGGGAAGTTGTGGTAGATGTTGGAGATGATCTGTACGGCGGTGTCTGTCTTGCCGGTACCCGGGGGGCCGACGACCTGTGCGAAGCCTTCGTTGGTCCCAGCAAGAATTGCATCCACCTGAGCGGGAGTGAAGCGGATGGAGTTGGTCTTTCTCTTCAGCTCAGGGTAAGGACCTGGCTCGGGAGGAAGGTAAGACTGGCAGACCATGGCAGCATCGCCCTCGCTGCTGGCTGGAAACTGAACGCGGAAAGGAGGAGCTACCAACCCCTTGGCGTTAGGCTTGAACTCGATTTTCTTCCCAGGAAAGCTCTCCGTCACATGCTTCTCGTCCAGGAACGTGTCGTTGAAGTCCACAGTCTGCAATGGGCTCAAGGCCGTGTAATGAGACTCTTGCGGATCTCCATAGCCGAGCAGAACATCGTGAAGCCACTCGGGAACCACGATGTTGGTATTCATGAGATCTCTGATACACTCCAAGATCGCCTTGAAGTTGTTCTCCTGCGCCTTGCGCTTCATGATCACATTGAACGTCTCGTACACAGGATCTCCCCCGTGTTGTGCCTTGTAAGCAGCATCGATCGCGTACTGAGCCGAGTTCAGTCTCACTCGCACCTTCCTCTCTTGTCCCTGAGGCAAGCCTCTCGACTGCGGGTCGAGGTTGTTGAAGATTTTCCCATCAGAGTCCAGCATGCCGACCACCTCGCACCCCCTGATGTACTCGATACAGAAGTCTTCCTTGCACTTCCCTTCCGTATGAGGAGGATGCTCGCCTGCCTTATACCTGGCCTTGATCGTGAGCAGAAACAGCACGTCGTGCTCTCTGAAAGTCTCCCACTCTCGTCTGAGCGTGTGGTCACGCATTCCTTGCAGCGAATAGGTCGCTTCGCCCACGACCCGCGCAGGCTTCGTTTCACCGAGGTTGGGCTTGGAGACCTCTATGACTGAGAAGGAAGTGAGAGGAAGGGACGACCGAGACCATCCCTGGAACACCGTTCTCCCGTCATCTATCCTTGGCCTCAGACGCAAAGCAACGTCTTCCACATCCTGGCGTATCTCGTAGGTGCTTTCAAGACGGAAGAGGTTGAAGTTGCGAAGCAGGTAGTCATGAAACGTCAAGTACTGCAGGTTCAGCTTGGGTAACGCAAGGACCTGCTCTCCAGTGAAGTTGATAGACGGCACTACGTGCTCATCCCACAACAGGTTTTCAGTTGGATAAAGGGGAAGTGCATTGATAGCATCCAGCTGCGAAATCCGACGCTCATGGTATGCAACAGCAATCTCCAACATAGTTCTGTGATCCAACCAAGTCAGCCCGGCCGATTCATCTTCGAACGGTATCAATCTGATCTTGCGCAACAGCTGTGATAGCTGAGTCTTGTTCAGCCTCGACAAATACACCCTTAGACTGTCCTTGTTTTCAACGGCTCCAATGTTAGCAAGTGCAAATTCCTTCATAATGTCAGGGAACAAGGAGTAGGCATGCCTTTGCACGAGTTGGATACGACCATAATGCCTCGCAAGCATCTCATCACGGCTCAAGGGCATACCAGTGTGCTCATTGATTTCAAAGTCCAAATAGAAGCTCAAAAGATCAAGAAGTTGATTGAAGAGTCGGCCATCTGGGCGCTTAGCGAGGTTTGCAAGGCGACATCGAATGACGAAATGGTGATCAGAGAGCAGCGCCAAGAAGAATCGGCGGGTTGGCAGTTGAGCAATCAGATCAATCAAGAATTCCAACACCCTTTCCAAGTATCGCCTCAGTTCGAATTCAAACTTGCCATCTGCCGGGATTGTGGACAGTTGTTGAAAGAAGACCTCGAGTAACTTTGGAAGGAAGTGATCTTTCAACTTTTCCAAGCCTTCTTTCTGCACTTTCTTTTGTAATGTCCTACAGGATCAAGCGATGTCACTGTAACCTTCAACCAAAGAATATCAAAAGTTACCTCCATTTCTTCTCAAGGTGAGGAGCTTTTCTAAGTTCTAGCTCCAACCTTGACTTGCTCAAATGTAGCCAAAGAGGCAATGAAACTTGAAGCAAGCATGAGTTCCTGACCATTGTGTTCTCCAAGCTCTGGAAGCTGTGAATCAGAAATACTACGATGAGGCTCCTTTCTCTATGCGAAAGCTCCTTCTTGCCATGCAGAATGGTCACGCTCTTGAAAAATTCTGAGAAAACCTGCTCACGCTCCTGAAACGGCTCCCAAGACATGACCTATGGAGGAGTTAGAAAGCAACTAGAGCTGCAAACGTAGGCTTCACCTGTTCGCGAAACTTCTCGTTCACCATGCAAACCAAAGAGAGAATGTGAGCGTCTGTAGCTTTCGATGGGTCATAGTTGGGCCATAGGTACTTCTCGAGGTATTGGCTGTATTCCAAGATCATCACTTTGTTCAACGCAAAGTTCGATGGCAGAAGTTCTTCTTTGTACAACTTAGTCACGAGTGCTGGATCCCAAGGCTTCGTCTTAGACCCTTTCCAATGCTCCTCAGCAATTGCCATCAACTTATCACTTTCCAGCTTTCGCTTCGTCGGAATGGCGTTGCTATCATCCCTGACTTTCTTCTTCTTCTTTTTATCACAAGCTCCAGAATCTGCCTTCCTCTTTGTTCCCGAGGTCTGCTCAGCCTGTTCCTCCTAAAGCTCTTCGTCAACTGCGACGGTTTTCGCAATATTACAAATACCTCAGCTTCCTCCTGCTCATCATCATCTTCTTCTTCCTAAAATCAAAGCATTGAATCAATAAAGGGGATCAAAATAGATATCTAGCACCATTTCTTCGTCTTCATCGACATCTTTGGCATCATTGGTTTCGGCACCAGCAGCTTCTAACTGACCCTGTTCTTTTCCACCATCATGTGATTCTTTTGTTTCCTTTGGTTTTGCTGGCTCGCTGCTGGCCACTGCAGGTACCTCCTTGCTCTGAGCTGCTTGTGGAACTTTGGTGCCTGCTGACAAGCGAGTATCAAGGGATCAAGGATCATACATAGTAATCTTCGTATGGATGAGAGGTGCGTGTCCTCGAATGATGAAACAGGAAATCTCACCTGCCGGGCTTTTCTGAGGAGTGCTAGCAGGTTTCTCGGGAGCAGACGCAGGGCTAGGGGTGGGTTCTTGTTGTTTCTTGGGGGACTCTTGTGGTGCGGCCGTCTTGCTCTTGGCTGGGGACTTCGCCGCTTCAGGTTTTGACGTCTCAGCCGGAGTAGCAGCAGGCTGCTGTTCCTTGGACACTGCAGGTTCTGGTGCCTGCGCTGCTGGAGCAGGAGCCTTCTCGGCTGGAGTAGCTTCCTTGGCAGGAGACTGCTCTGGTTGGCTGGTTTCAGACGCCGCCGGAGCGCTCGTCTGCTGGCTCTGCAGGTGAGTCTTCAGACGATCACTTAAAACAGCCTTGACGCCTGAAGTCGGGAGGTTGCGAGCCTTCAACTCGGCTTTCAGCTGGTCCACCTAGGATGGGAAGCAATCAGTGACGAACCATGTTGGTAAGGTTATGAGCAGGTGAAGTCAGATGAGAACAAATGAATCACCTTCAACTTATCGACATCAGCGACAGAGAGGTCCCCTGCCATTTGTGAAGACCTCTCAGCTTTCTCTGCAAAAGTGCACCGACTGTCCGCACTTGCCAGGTCCAAGGCAACCCTGCCCCACACATCATTATTAGTCCGGAGTCCATAAATCAGTGAAATAGCTTGTTCAGTTTGACATGGCCTTAGTTTGACATGGCCTCAGTTCAACAACGCACGAGCTCATCAGGAAGAGAGAGAGGGCATGTGGAAGGATAAAAATCAAACATGGAGTGAGGCTGGGCATGTGTATGGCGGGATCTGGGAGCAGGCCTTCCTCCTGTGGTCCACAGAGCTGGGAAATAGCATTGCTCCTCATGGATGAAGCGAGCTGGGATGAGGAGGGATAAACATACGATAACACGATTGAGAGAACTAGCTGTTGAGTGCAAGAAGATGAGAAGTCATGTGTGCAGGTCCCACAAAGTTTCCACCAACCCGGTGAGGAATAATTCGAAACGAAAGCAGGCGCAAAAACTGGAAGAGGAGGAGGAGCAGGAGAGTACGGAGGAGGCAGGGCAGAGAGAGCATGAGGATCAAGTATATTGAGAGGAGGAGAGGAGGAAGAGCCGATAGCCAGCGACAGACGATGAGGAGGAGGCACATAAGCCAGAGGATCCTGCCGGCATGCAGGGAGCGGCGGCGCGTGGAAACCCAAGGGGGTGGTTTAATTCGTTCGGTGGGTACTGCTCATTGATGTGGGTGGGGGGTGATTCAATAGTGCTGATTACCCCACAAAATATTGGAAATTTTACGGGTACTTAGTCATTCAAGGTGGTAGAGATCCAGAATCTTCTTAGTTAATCGGGTGGGGTCATGAGATGACCGGTGATGTACGAAGGGCTCTCTCATTCGGAGTAGGGGTACATCCTCCCTGCTTCCGGATTACGAAGGGGGTGGGTGGTTTGCGGTGATGGGTGCTGATTGGAGGCCCGCCTCAGAGCAAGGACGATGACAGGAGTTGCCATGGCGAAATTTTGTTTCAAGCTCCTCCTCCTCCTCCTCCTCCTCCTCCTCTCCCTGCCCCCTTCGAACTCCTTCTCCTTCCTGCCTTCTGCTTCTCCACTGATCTCCTTGCCTATCCACTCGCCTCTGCTCCCATTCTCTTCGTGTCCATGTCCTTGCCCTGGATCCGCCACATTGCTGAAAGCCGTATCCTCCTACTCGAGCCATCGAGGGAAGCGGAACCATACCTATGAGGAGACAGGACGAGCTGGAGAAGACTTGAACCATCTCAAATATCTCTCCAAGGTCCAGCTCAGCGGAAGGAGGAGCGAAGAATTTTTTACCGACCCTCTCGGAAGGTAGGGTGTTGTTCTCCATGTCTCCTCTCCTCCTCTCCCAGTGCATGGCTGCCGCTCTTGCTCTTGTCAGTCTTTCAGTGAGCGATGCTGCTACAGGTCAGTGGTCAACACCCCTCTCATCCGAGCGTCAACCGTCACCTTCCCGAGCATGGCCGCGCTCCGAGCTCGCCCGCAAGGGATCCAAACTGTCTATGGAGGGCTCTTCTACGGGCGATATGGCACGTTGACGCACAGAGCAGCAGAAGAAGCGCATGCAGTGCTGGAAGAAGGTCACAAGTCATGCGCCGTCAGCTCAGGGAGAGCAGCCATGGTCTGTGTCTTGATGGGGCTGCTGAGGAAAGGAGATGTAGTGCTGTACTCGTCTGATATCACCCCTGCTCTCAAGAGTTTCTTGTGCGTCGAGATGAAGAGGTTGGGAGTGACGAGCGTCTCGTTCCAAGCTTCCTCCTCCCGAGACGCCCTGCTAAGTCAGCATGGGCCGGACCTCGATCGCGCTCGCATGGTGTTGGTTGAGACTTTTTCGCCCTCCTCCCCAGCACTCGCAGACGTCCCCATGCTGGCAGAGCTCTGCCGCCAACGTCAGTCGCTCCTGGTGGTGGACAACACGTGGGCCTTTGGCTGGGCTCTGCAGCCGCTGAAGGAGGGGGCGGACGTCTCTGTCGCGTCTCTCGGCCCCCTGGCTGGCGATCAGGAGTGGGACCTTGGGATGGTGACCAGCAGGAGGGAGCTCTGGCCAAGGATAGTGAGCTCTTGCAAGCGCCTCGGCCTCGTTGCCTCCCCTGAGCAGACGTACCAGACGCTGCGGGGGCTGCGGACGCTTCCGCTGCGCATGCGGCAGCAGGATCAGACGACGAGAGCAGTGGTGGAGTGGATGATGGGGGTGGAGCAGGTGAGTCGGGTGTTTCATCCCATGCTGGAGGGAGGAGCGGCAGAGAAGGGATTCACAGGCTTCCCACCGATCCTTAGCTTCTGCCTCTCCAGCGAGAACTCGGAGGAAGAACAGGTCGAGGCTCTGGTGGAGAGTCTCAAGAGGTTCAGGCTGGGATGGGACGGCAGCGTCGGAGGAGAGCTCTCTTTGGTATGGCCTGTTGGCCTCGTGTCGGACTGGAGGAGGGAGCAGAACTTCAGGAGGCCGGATGAGTCCGGTGATGGTACGTGGGATGTGGTGGGCAGCAGCTGAAGCCTAGAACAGGTGAACGGGGAAGGATTCTCTTGTACATCGGGCTGGAGGAAGCAGGCGATCTGATAGGTGAGCATCTGACTTGAGTTGCTGGGAGTGCTGACGGGACAGCAGAGGATTTGAGGAGAGCCTTTGAATGTTTGCAAGAGATACAGGATGGTAGGACATGACGTGACGGGGGACGAACTAGGACCTTTGCCAGAAGGCGAGCTGACAAGCATCTGTAAACTAGTTGTACAATAACAACATCTGCTGTGGTACCATGTGTTTTAAAGTCATGAGCGCGATGAGAAAAGGTCTCATCGTTGTGTTTCAAGACGACGGTCTGCCTTGCCCTCGGCTCATGGCTGGCCCGCGCACGATTGCTGGTTCTAGCCGTCCCACCAGCGCTCTGGCTCGTAGGTTCCCAGCCTCCGCAGCTCTTGTCAACCAGGTCTCGTACCTGACAAGCAGCAGGTCACGTGTCAGTCACGAGAGATTGCATCACGCACTTGGCCGCGTCTTCTTTCACTCCCCTCCCCGAGCTGTAACATAGCGCCACGTTCATCATCCCGTCCGCGTCGCCCTGCTCCGCTGCTCGTTCGAACCACAGGAACGCCTCCTCGTCGCTCCTGGGGACCCCGATGCCGTACTGGTACGCGATCCCCAGGTTCACATTGGCCTTGACGTCAGCATCAGCTGCGATCATGTTGAGCTCGACGGCCTTGGTCAGGTTCTTCTCCACCCCCACGCCATCCTGGTAGCAGCGAGCGAGCTGAGCGATGGCCCTCACGTTGACATCGGCTGCTTCCTCGTACAGCCTGAACGCTTCTGCTTCCGACCGCATGACCCCCTTTCCGAACTCATAGCAAGATCCCAGCGCGATGAGCGCGCTCGACCACCCCCCGTCCGCACTCCTCTCGTAGCACTCAAACGCTTTCTCCCCGTCGCACTCGGTCCCCCTTCCCAGCTCGTAGCACATCCCTAGGAGGAACCAGCCTTCTACTGACCCTCCCTGTGCAGCAGCTGTCAACCACCGAACCGCCTCTTCCTCCCGCTGCTCCACCCCATCGCCGTGCAGAAAGCTTCTCCCCAGCTCTAGCAGAGCTCCTACGTCTCCCTGATCAGCTGCCTGCCGCAGGAGGGCCTCGACACTGGAGCAAGGGTCCTTGGTGAAGGAAGCAGCGAGGGAGGGCGAGAGCTTCAATCGCTTCAGCACCAGCGCCATCTCCACCTTCGCTCCTGCATGCTCCTTGGCACTGGCCCTCTCAAACCAGGACAACGCACTGAGCTTCCTCCACCTCCCGTGTACCCACGATGGGAACGCGAGACGTTCAGCAGCCTTGAGCTTGCTTGTCTTGTCCTTAGCGCCGAGTGAACCCGGGGGGCAGGCGAGGAGGCTCTCGGAGGAGCTCTCTAGGAAAGACTTAACGCTGCTGCCGCAGAGGGTCACCATAAGGACGAGCAGCAGCAGCAGCAGCAGCAGCAGCAGCAAGTGGAGGAGGCAACAGGGCCCTCACCTGACGACGTTGGTCCTGTGCATCTTGTGATTGAAGGCACGGGAGTACTTGACAAAGTCCGCGAGGAGCTCCTGGGTGAGGTCATGCTCGGTCCTCGGCACCCAGGAGGGAGGGAGGGGGTCTCGTCCTTCGAAGTACTTCCCCAGCAGGTATTGAGCTGCTACCATTGAATCGTGCTTTGCGGCTTCCAGGTACAGCTCAGCTGCTGCGACACTGTACTCCAACCTGGTTGCCGCGGCATCCTCCAGCTGTTCTCTCAGCTCGAAGACTCGCTCAGAGTACTTCTGTCGGAACGACGACATGCGTCTCCTCGCTTCCTTCCTGCCCTTGCTGGAGTGCGAGAGCTTCACTTCGGACTTGCCGAGGGCTTCAGTCTCCTGGTGCAGTCGCTCCTGAGCAACCAGCAAGCTCCTCTCTGCGCTCTCCTCACTTCGCTTCAGCCTGTCCATGGATTGTTTGATGTTGCTCGCCATCTCCATCTTCTTCTTCGCACTCTCAGCCTGCATCCTGGCCTTGAGCTCGTCAGCCTCTGCTCGCAGCCGATCCATGCTCGCGACCGCGTTGTCGATCTTCCACCTGCCAGCGTCACAGCAGCGTCAGCGTCAGGCCCCACACGACCGAGTCATACTTCTGGAACTTGAGGGCCTTTCGCGCCGCGTGCACCTCTTGTTTGAGTTTGACCACCCGTGACCTTGACATCCGCATTGACCGACTCATCTCGATCGGGGAAGTTGCCTTCTGCATCACTCCGGTACGCACATACCTTAGGAGCTGCGAGGTCTCGAGCTCCTCCTTCAGCTGGAAGCTCGTCTCATCATGCTCCTCTTGGATGTCTTCCTCGCTCTCTTGAGAGCTCATGATAGACTCCATGCTCTCTGTCTCATACACGTTTGCAAACATGTTTCGCACCCCCACCCCCACTTTCCGCAGCACAGCAGTGAGATATACCAAGAACAACTCGTAAGACATCGCCTTCATCTCCATCTCTCCACGAACTCGCTGAATCTTCTTCACCAGCGCTGCGGCGCTCTCTTTTGATATCAGGCTAGGGATGATTGCTGCATATTCCTGCAGCACTTTGTAGAAGAGACTGGAAAGAGCGAGGAGTGAGCGAGAGCCGGCAGGATCTTGACTCACCTGAAGTTCATACTCATTAACGACTTGCCTCCATAGCCCAGCTCGATCTTTTCCAGCTTGACAATCTTCTCGAAGAGAGTGCGGTCCTTGCACAGTGAGCGAATCCTCCTGCTTCTCAGCTCCTCCAGCTTGTCCTCGTCTGTTGTAGCAACCTTCATGTAGTAGTTGGCCAGCTCCTGAAGGCACGAGGGTCATTCGATCGCAACTACACCTCCTTGAGATAATACCAACTGAGCCTCTGGTAGCCCCTGGGCCGCAGCTCGCTTCCAATAGGCAGCAGCTTTCTCTGCGTCCAGGGCAACTCCCTCTCCTCTCGCACACAGGACCCCGAGGTTGTACTCGGCGACAGCATACCCTTGTTCCGCGCTTCTCTCCAGCATCTCGACCGCAAGCGCCATGTTCTTCTTCACGTTCATTCCGCTCAGCAGGGCGATGGCGTACGACAGCTGCGCCTGTCTGTGCCCGTTCTCAGCTGCTGCCTTGAACCATCGGATCGACTCCTCGGGGTCGTAGAACCTGGAGGAGCGCTGCGAGTGAATGGCTCCGAGCCGGAACTGAGCGATGGCGCTGCCCCTTTCAGCCGCAAACGACAAGTAGGAGAAGGCTTCCTGCATGTCCCCCTCGACGCCTCTTCCTTCCAGGAAACAGATCCCCAGGCTCACATGCGCTTCCAGGCTCCCGTCCCTGATCGCCTCCAGGAAGTAACTCACCGCTAGCGCCTCGTCCCTGCCCACGACCTCCCCCTCTGATAGAGCAGCCCCAGGAAGTGCTTGGCCTTGGCGCTCCCCCGCGCAGCAGCTTCTTGGCACCACCTGAGCGACAGGTGCGAGAGCTTAGGCAGGTACCTGCCTTGGACGTACCACATGCCCAGGTTGAGCTGAGCCTCCAACAAGCGCATGTCTTGGGCGGCAACATGAGTGATGGGGGCTGGAATGTTCCTGAAGTCGTCAGCCAATGAAGGCGTGAGGTGAAACTGATCTTTGAGGTAGTTGCTGTGCAAGCATCATCATCGTAGAATCGAGGTGCAGTGAGTTTTTGTCTCACCTTGGGAACTTGTCCATGTTCTCGTCAAGGAGCTGCGACAGGGCCAACCAGGCTTGTTTGTATCCCAACGACTTTGCCACGGGGCTGAAGTAGAAGGGGAGAGGACCGCATTCCATCACAACAACAACAACATCCTTCCTGTCCAGGAGCTGCGGATGTTTCAAGTTGATGCCACCGCAGGTGCGATAGATCCGAATCGCCTCATGTCGATTCTGAGCGAAGTTGACCCCGTGCCACAGGGCGTCTGCCACTTGCAACGAGGCCACCTCAGACTGCTCGTGCATGCTCTTCTCTAGCTCCTGCACGCTCTCTCCAACAGCCTTGAGGAAGTCCTCACAGCACATACGCAGGCAGATGGAGAGATGGTTGGGACCTGGAGGGAGGTCCAGAGGGCACGTTGCATCTTCGTCGAAAGAAACAATGATCGAAGATCGCGCAGGCATGTTGTGCACAAACACTCTCCCACCGTAGAGCAACTTCGCCGATTTATCCCCAGCTTGATCTCTCGATGAGTACAAATAAGGTTCCACGTAGAAGGAGCCGCTGTCGAATCTCGACTCATTGGTGACCTTGCACTTCAAGAATGGCCCAACAGGATGCAGCACATGCAACAGCCTCGGCGAGCAGTGGAGCTCGACATCTGTCACCCGCATGATCGCTCGCTCGGAGGGCTGGGCCACCAGAACCGCATGCATCGCCTTCTCCTTGGGTGTTCCTCTCCTCCCGACATCGACCTCAGGCGCTTGCAAGGATGTGACGGATCCTCCTCCTACAGTGCGCAAGGCGTCATAAGGATCCCTGGATATGCTCAAGTGCTGACTCTGAACCTGCCGCTGAGACCCTCTGCTCATCATGACCCCCCTGGATCCCAGTCCTTCTCTCGTCTTGCTCCTGTGGGTCGACAGGTTGTCTCTGGCCTCGACGCTTTCAAGCAGACGAGACGCAACAACCGACACTTCATCTGGAAGAGTCCTTGGCTTCCGGCATTGCTTGCATACAATGTCGCCCTTGGAAACGTTTCTCGAGTACTTGTTCTCGTTCCAGCAGCCGCAGTTGGGGCAGAGATACTGAGTGAAGACTGTCGAGCCCTCGGCACTACTGTCATGCCCCCTAGCAGCCAGCAGGTAGTACTTGAGAGCGTCATTGGCATCCTTTTTCATCCCGATTCCCATGTGGTTCAATCGTCCCAGCTCATAGGCAGATTCGTATATCCCGTTCAAAGCCGCTCGTTGGTGCCAGGACGCGGCTTCTGAGTAGTTTGGAAACTTCATCTTGGAATGTGAGGGGACCAGCCATGATACAACAGAAGGCATGTGATGAAAGACTTTGGCTTGCTTTGTTCTCATCGCAGTCGATTGACTGCATGCCCACGTTATGACCGAAGGCAATAAATGCCAACGTAATCTCCTATCAACCTCGACAGGGTCAACAGGCTTGATTCCTTGCGAGTACATCACAGCAACTTTATGCTGCGACAAGGCATGTTCTTGTCTGGCTGCTTTCAGGTACCATCCCATGGCTTTTGCCATCAGCAGACCCCCCTCGCCGACATCCTCCGCTGCCTCACCTGCTTCATCTCTGGCATCTTGTGCCTTGACGTGCGCTGCTGACTCGGTTTCAAACCTCCATCCCAGACGAAACTGAGCCTCTCTGTGGCCCAACAGTGCTGCCTGTATCATCCACTTCCATGCTGATTCGGTTTCCCTACGAGACTTGTACCTAGTCAGAGCAAGTACCTGACGGGCAACAGTCAGCGCGCGCAAGACATGCTGCAACGCTACCCCTAGCTGGTAAGATGCTTCAGCATGGCCTGAAGAGATGGTTGAGACTTATCCTTCAGCAGTTGTAGCATCACCTTCGTTCGCAGCTTTCTTGAGCCATGCAGCAGCCTTCTTTGCGTCTTGCTGGGGCGACCCCTGTCCTCTGAGCCACATGTTGCCGAGCTCGAAGCACGACTCTCTCTGCGCATGATAGCAGGGTGAGGGAACGTCAGAAACCGACGGGCAGCATACATGTCCTGAAGAAGCAGACTTTGAGAACCAGAGAAAGGCGGACTTGAGGTTCTTTTCTTGACCAAGGCCATGGAGGTAGCACTTGGCCAGCACCTGACACTGCAAGTCAAGGCTGGCGAAGGACAGGAAGCAGCAAAGGTAGGTTTTCTTCCTACGTATTGGGCCTCAACGTCCCCTTTCTTGGCTTGAAACCAGGCGCTGCTGGGATTGATTGTCATCCATGCTTGCTCTGCTTTCTCTGACGACATGACTCCAACCTTCTCTGGCAGGAGACGGACGAATCGGCAACGTGCTAGAGCTGGATCACCCCATCTCTCCTCAGTCTGCCTTGGATCAGGCCGTGTCGCCTCCTGGAGGCTGGGATGATCAGGTAGCTAACGTAGTCTAACTGGTTCGAGTCCTCAAGCCTCTCATGATGTCAACGTCGTCGAGCTCTCATGTCCAGTGCTTCACAGCTCTCGTCATCGACCACGGCTGAGAGCAAACAGTTGTGTCATGCATGTGACCAGCATGCTGGTGTGGTGGACTCAACTGCCCGGCGTTGAAACAACCCGCTTTTCAACCCGCTCGGCTGCCCCCCCCCCCCACTGGCTCGGAATCACTTTAGGGCCGGGGATGAGGGGTGAATTCAACCGGATGATGGTGAAACGAACAGCAGGCATGGAGGAGGTCAGGGAGGGAGGATAACGCTTGTTGCTGCAAGGCTTACGAGCTTCGCGTACCCTGTGCTCGTCAACCTCATTCCAGATTCCTCTGATGAGGTACAAAGAGACGAATGCCAGCATCGAGACATTCAGAAGCGATCAAGCACGCTCATGCCCCTGCATAGCATCTGGGTACTGTGATCTTTCATTCAACCCTTTATTCGTAGCCAGCAAGTCAGTCTGCTGTATGTACTTCTTTGAGATTCAATGGCTCGTCCTATACGTGTACTGGGGTCACTACTCGTTGCAAGGAAATCAATCAGTTTAGCAAAGTGTAGATCGATCACTCATCGGATTACGTGCTTATGCTTGCGAGCGTTTCAAGAGATATCTTATTATCAGTCGCAGCTTCTCAAGTTGGCCTATGCAAGTTTGCTTTTCCTTGTAAAAAGCATCTCTGCGTCTCTACTCGGCTCGCTAAGTCATTATTTTTCTTGCACAATGCCCTATCGGCCATGTTTCGCAGCCTAGCAATCGAATTTCAACCATGGCAAACCATTCCCACGAGTTTCCTATAAGACACTTTCTCCTATTTATTTTGCATTTCGTTCAATGGTTGCCTTGTACTCCAAACTTGTTTCGTCCAGGCCTTAATTTTCTCCCCGTAGCTGCTACGCCTGAATTATGATACTTCTCGGCGCGATCACTCACTTCTTGAGTTCTCATCGTTGTGTCCATCATCCCGTTCACCGTCTACCTTCCCATCTCATGCTGCTGCATGCCGCTTCATCGCATGCATCTACCATGCTGGTCCTTGATACATAGCCTCATTGATCGGAGATCGCGAGGGTTCCGGGACATACGACCCTCCAGTGGACGTAGACTCAATCTGTACGATCTTTACTTCATACAGATAAAACAAGTGAAACATTTTGTACCAAACAAAGAAATTTTAATAACTCTAAAACTTCAGCAAAACTTTTTTGTCCGTACATATAAGTATAATAGCGCAAGAACATCAGTACAACTCTACTACCGCTAAGGTCACCATTTCAGAGCTTTTCTCCTCCACCCCTACTTCTTGCTGCACCCCTATGACCCTCTTATACTACCCCCCACCAAATGGTTTTGACCGTAGATTTAGCCCAGGCTCACCAAATCGATTCCCTGCATTATTCCTCCCCTATGAAATTTCGAGTTTGACTACCCCTGCTACCCCAAGGTCAATTCTCTCTACTGCGCCTGACAACTTCTATTCATCACCCCACCTCTTTGAAATTTCAATGACCCCCCCTCACTACGATGACCCCCCTGTTCGTATAAAAACAACCTCTAGAGAACACCTCCACTGTTGCTTATGGCAGTAACCCCACCCCCAATTCTAAAGTAGTTGACACCCCACCCTCAAAATGATAAGTCATTTTTGTGAACATGCGAAAAAAAAAACATAATTCCTTGTACCCCTACCCCCTCGGAAGAAGCATTACTCCCCGACAATTCCATTCGGCCCCCACACCCTCTAAAATTTTGTACCCTACCCTGCCTTCAGATGTCCTCAGAACACCACCCCCATCCCTTGGACCCCCCTTGTTGTCTGCTGATACCCCCTGAAGCCCTGCTCCCACCCCCAATATCCGCACCATTGGTGTCATCAATACCAGTACTTTTGCCTACCGGGGGTGTGTACTACCCTTTCTCCCCCAGGATAACCCCATATTTCCCCTTCTACCACCCCCTGTTGCTACTGCACCCCAGACCCTCAAAGCGCCATGGCTGCGCTAAGTTGAGGAAGGAGGAATCTTGGGTGCTCGTTCCTTGCGCTTCCTCCTCATCCCCGTCCCCCTTGCTTTCTACGTTCTAATCAAACTTCATGTCGGGTGTCCACCTGTCCGCGGAGGTGCTGCAACGCATCTCTGACAAGAGGAAGGAAAAGGGCAATCCGACCCTGACCATTGAACAAGTGTCAAGGCATAATTCGAAACATGATTGTCTTATTGTGGTCAATGAGATGGTCTTTGATGTTTCTTCCTTTCTCCATAAACATCCAGGTGGAATGTCAATCATCCTCAATCAGGGGGGGAAGGACGTCTCACACATTTTCTTCCGCAATCACAGCAAGCATGCCCACTCTTTCCTGCCAGACTTGTTTTGTGCGGATTTGATTACCAGCAAGAAGCAAGATCTTGATAGGATCACACAGATCGTGAAAGTTAAGGAGATTGCTGCACAAATCGAGTCGCCACGAAAGGATTCCCCGCGAGAAACCAGTGCGTCCTTGGTCTATGACGTTGAGCTTTCGTCTCCCCATGGTTTCGTGCGCGAACGGGTGACGAAGTTTGATTCTCCCAGGAAGTCGGAGCTCGACGAATCTCCTCGATCACAGAGAGACTCAGACTTGGCTTCGGATGACGACAGCACTCATGGAGCTCTCAACTCCCAGTTCTCGGTCCCACCAGTCATCATTGAAGAGACGGAAGCAGAGGTGGCAGGCATGGAGGAGAGTCCGCACAATGCCCTCGATGGGCACATGCTGGAGGAGATTTTATTTGACGTACATTCCGGCCGCTCTTCTCCCACGAATAGGAACCCTAGCAAGAAGATGAATGGCAGCAATGGTAAGTTGGAGAGTGCGTGTCCGTTCATGGCTATCGCCATGGCACACGAAGCGAAACAGCTTGAAAATGGACATGGGAATGGAGAAAGTGAAATCACCCTTTCGAACAGTTTCAAATCAGCTAATGGAGATGGTGGAATTTTGGCTCACATGTCGGGTTCGTTTGGCTCCAGTAAGAAGTTGCCGATCAACATGTTGAAACCCCTTCACTCCCTGTCCTCCTTCTCGCAAAGACACGGCCAAAGTAAAGATGTGGCGATGGAATCACCTCGCTCTGTGAGATCGAAAGAGGACTTGTCTTCATCTAAGGGTGGCACCTCTCACGGGAGGAACAGCAGCAGCTTCAATCATTCTCGCAAGTCGCGTGGAACGAATATCAACAAAGCTGGAGGTGTCTATCGAGGACGAGTGCGTCGAAAGCAGCACCATACACGTAAGAGTCAGGTGCCAGCTGTTGACATGGAAGAGTGGGGAAATCATTCTTATTTCATCGTTACTTCATGGAACAAGATGCTGCAAAAAGCATCATATGCTGATCTTGGACTTGCAATCTATGATTCTGTCAAGGACAACGAGACATTAGAGCCGCTTTTTCGCTTCACAAACAAATCCGTACAGGGAACTAAATTTGTAGACATGCTTTCCAGCATCGTTGAGAACATCACGTCACCAGCTGATATTTATGTGAAGATTGCAGAACTTGCTCCAATGCATCACAGGAAGGGAGTGAAAGGATCCCATATGCCTCTCATGAAAGAAATCATCCTCGGAGTCTTCAAGCATACATTAGGCGAAGATTTTTCTGCCGAGGAAACCAAAGCGTGGATATGGATGTGGTCCTACTTGTCACGTGCGCTCGAGCATTCCTTGGTCGATGTAGGCTCAACCCTCGGCGTCGTTCGGGAGTCATGGGAAATTATTCTGGAGAAATACGATCCTGCACATCTAGGGGAAATGGTTTACGATCATTTGTTCAAGCTCGCACCAAATGTTACCTCCTTGTTCACCAAGTCGAGAGAATACATGGCAATCAAGATGGGAGACATGTTGTGCATGTTAGTATCTTTTGCGGACGATCCAGATAATATGAAGCAGCAAGTTTCCTGGCTTGGATTGCGGCATGTCAACTACAAAGTCAGGCCACATCACATACCATTAATGGGACCTGTCTTCATGACCGTGCTCGCAGAGGCATCGGGCGAGTACTGGACGGAAGAAATGGAGAAATGCTGGGGAATCGTATTCAATATGGTTTGTGAGAACATGTCAGAAGCCATTCAGGATGGCGAGGATTATGCGCTCTCTTTAGAACACACAACGCAATTCATGCAGGAAAGAGTTGATCGATCGGAACTATCCAAAGTCATGAGAACTGAACTCCTTGTTCACTGCCCGTCGCTATTTGAGAAACTTGAGGGCGATGCAGCTTCTAACGAACGGCGCAACAGCCTGTTGGAAAGGACTAAAGCATTGCGAACTGCAAGTACCACGAGCAGTATAGACAGAACTCCCAGTACTCAAAGAGATAATCAAGTTGATCATGGGGTATAGATTACTGTTCAGTGCTTGGAAGCTAGTCACTGATGAGTTTTGTGCAGGTCTCTCATCTTATCTCATCCAGCGCAACTCGCAGAAGAGACTCAGTGCTTGATGATGCGCACAACTCATCGTCTCAGAGTAGGAAGTCAGTGAAATCGAAATGCAGAAAGCTCACTTCAGTGGCAGGAGGCAGACAAACACGTTTGAAGTCTACCTTTACTCCAGTTGCGAGCTGTGAATCAGACGTTGAAGCTCAGGTTAGATGTTTTCTTCATGCCTTCTTCGGTTGAAACATGTATATCCCAGGAGGAGTTCGCGATCTCCATTTACGACTTTACTGTGGAGGTTGCTCAGCTGGTTTGGGAACCTGAGAAACAGCTTGAGCAGATCTTCGTTTATGCGCCAACCTTCTATGCATGGTCTGCAAGATAGCTCTCATTTTAATTCTGATGAGCATGCCAGTGGAATGAGGAGCGAGCATTTGAAGGCTATCGCTCAGTCCTTGGAGAGCGGAGTTGCTAGTGTGATCGGAGAGGAGTGAGTTGAATCTGATCATGGTGTTGAGAAGGCTGATGTTTTTTTCTGCAGTTGGGGTGAACACATGAGCGACTCTCTCAGATGGGTTTGGAAGATGATCAGTGATGTGAGGAGCTGAGACCTGTTTTGACGCGACCTGATCCCCTTGCAGTCACTCTCAAGTGAGCTCGACGGTTTGCGCGAAAAGAGAAGTGAGATCGTCTTGCATCAGTGGCAACACATGAAAGATAACGTCGATGTCGAGGTGAGAGCGAAAGATGATTCTTCTCATTCCCCCCGTACTGAACTTCTTGCTCACAGTATCTTGGAGAAGTCTTCTGGAAGCACCTTAACAACATCGTACAGTCGTGCTAAAATATTCGCTTGTCGCTGACTTGAGATGTTTGCAGTCACCGGAGCAGACGCATCTCTTCAGAAGATCTTTGCGCATGTGAACCTTTGCATCTATCTGGTCTTTTATATTTGACCTATGAGGTCTAGGTGGGGGAGTCTCCTGTTTCATATCATGGACATGCTCGTGGTCAGCATAACCGAGCCTGCTGTAATGTCCACCTGTATGGATACAACGTGTTGAGAGATGCGGCAGGACTTTTTCGATCAACTCTTTGAGTTGACCTTGAGACATGTGCGGTACGGAGTTCGATCGGAGTACCTGAATCCCTTCGGACAAGCTCTCATCTTCACCTTGCAAGATGTGATGCGAGAGATGGGTTGTTGGCCATGGTGTGATAGAGTGAACAGATCATGGAGACTGAATTTGATGAAAAATCAGAGAAGGCATGGAAAGAGGTGATTCGGCTGATAATGCGTTCATCAGAAAGTCATCGTAATGCATCGAGTCAGGTGTGGAAAAAAGCGGCAAACAGCATGGCAAGGGGCCTGAACATGGGAGGGAATGCGATCACGCATGCATTGGTGGAAGGAAATGCAGATGCGCTCCAAGAGGCAATCAGCTCTGCTCCTCGGAGCAAGAGAGACGAGTGGTTATGTCAGGTTGATAGCGACATGAGGAGAATCGTTGCGAACATGATCGGTTGGCTGTCAGATTGATATCAACGGAGCAGTGATCTCTCCACTCTACTGGGCCTTACACGACGGGAAATACTCCATCGTCGAATTCATCTTATGGTAGAGATTCAATGTCTCGCATGAACGGCTCTGACTGACTGCAATATTCAGCGACTTGTTAACCATCCGTGCAGACATTCACGGCTACTACTACGGCAGAGAGGTGATAATGAAGTTGAGTGATGCGGCATCCTGCATGCTGACACCTGCATGACAGAATCTGTTCAGCTACCATGAGAACCTGGTAGAGGAACTTGGCCGTGAGTGCCCGCACTTGATGTGCACACTACTTGATGGCCTTCTGTGGCATTCGAAAGAGAAACTTCCCGGCAGAATGGTTCCTTTGCCATCAGTATCAGAAGGGTCAAGGTTTGACGTTGCCGTCGCAGGTCCGCGTGAACTACTACATCCGTGATATCTACGGGGACCCCGACCTACAGAAAGATCCCTGGAGCTCACCCTTGGCACACCTGATCAACTTCGGTGCGGCGAGCGAACGTTGCTGCCCGAGTTCCATCTGACATACTGTATGTACAAGGTGGGAATGACGTGTTCAAGCACCCTGTTGTCCACAAGACTCTCGATTTGAAATGGAGCAAGTTCGGGCTGAAAGTCTTCTGCCTGAAAGAATGTGTCTACTTTGCCATGATCGTCTTCTTCATGATCGGATACGTGAGGGATGAAACCCTCTGCGATCCTCAGAGTGAAGTAAGTCGACGCCTGCTCCTCTTGCGGGACTGACCCGCTCTCCAGACCATGAGGCTGGTCCTGACAGTTTTTGCGAGCTTGACTCTCTTCGCTCAAGTAGAGCATCGTGCTATTATTTCTGTCAACTGACTGTCACTGCAAGGTCTACGTGGCATTTTCCCATATGAGGAAAAATCTGATGCTTCCCTTCTCGTTCGGGCCCTTCACGTTTATCCTCCCGAGGTCAGAAGAGTCTCATCGTGGGATGAGAGCATCTGACTGGCCTGCAAAGGACTTTTGCATCCTCGTGGAACCTGCTGCGAGTGGTGTCTTGCTCGTTGATTCTGGTTTCCTTCGCCGGGCAGGTGATGACTGGAGAGGAAATGAGACGGACAAAGGCGCCATGAATGGAGGGGGTCAAGCTAGGAGCAAATATGATGGAAAGTGGGGGGAGGAGGGTTTAAGCCAGCAGTGAGAGATTGAGTGGGAAGGAAATTGAGAGGAGGGGAGGACTTGGTTGACTTGAACAAGAATGATAGAAATCTGCCGTGATTGGTTATGTTGAAGCCTGACTGAAACTGCAGCATGAATGCAATTCCTGCGACAGCGCCGTCATGAACTGTACAGATGTCACAAACACTACAGGAGGTTAATCGCGATTCTGCTCACCTGCCTGCCATGTTTTGACTGGTCAACAGCTCGAGAATTCTTCGTGTCTTCGTCATGGTCTCTGCTTGCTAAGGCGAAAGGAGACGCGACGACCTCTTCAACCATCTCTTCAGCCAACGTTAACGACAACAGAACATCGCTCGCTATCGCTGCTGTTTTGCTATGGGCACAGATGTTCCAGGTCTCATCTCCCAATCTGCGGTGGGGACGAATTTTTGACTCTGTCTCTCTCTCCTCCTACAGCTCAGCATTCTTTCGACCCCAATGGCAGCGTTCATCTACACCATCGGCATCATGTTTCACGACCTGTCGCATTCGCTCTTCATGATCGTTATCCTCATCTTCGGTATGCTCCTCCTTTTCAACCCCCGCTTTCCTACACGCCTCCTCGTCTCCCTATCTCTCCAACGTTACCGTCCTCGTTCTATCTCCCTCCTCTCCCTCCTCTCTGCTGTCATCTATCTCCCCTCATCTACCTCCATCGCCCTCCCCTTGGTATTGCCTCGCAATCCTTCGGCTGCCACCCTCGTCCACCGGCTCCCTCTGTCTTGTTCCTCTCACCGTCTTGTTTCAGGATTTGGCTCTGCTCTTACTCTCATCGACGATCCTCCTTTCGATGAAGGATGGGACCAATCAGTTGTAGTCCTCCTGCAAGAGGTCGTCCTCTTCCTACCCTCCCCCTCCTCTCGTTCCTCCTCGCTCCCTCCCTCGCCCTGCTCCCTCTCCCTGCTCCCTCTTCCTCCTTGTGAACACCCTCTCCTGCCCAAGACCGCCCGCCCCCTCCCCCTCCCCCTCCCCCTCCCTTCCCGCCCTTCCTTCTGGCTCCCTCCTCCTCCTTCCTCTCCTCGTCGCGCTCTCTCTCTCTCTCTGCTTCCTCCATTCTTCGTGTTTTTACTGCAGCTGAGCAAGACAAACAGGTTCTGGGAGTGGCTCAGCCTTTGTATCCTGATATCTCAGCTCTAACCCGAGCCCTCCTCCTCATCTACGTAACGTAAGATCCTCCTCCTCCTCCTTGTCAAGAGCCTCCGTCCCCATCAATCAGTCCCTTGCTCTTCCCTCTCCTTCTCTCTCCTCCTTCTCTTCCTCCTCAGCTGACAGGCGGGGTAGGTGCGTGAACATCGGGCTGTTGAACATCCTCATCGCCCAGCTGACGATCACCTACGACAAGCTCACCGCCGACAAGGAAGCCTTCGCCATGAAGCACAGGTGAATCAGGATGAGGGGAGGAGGAGAGAATTGAAACAGGCTGGGAGAAAGAATTGGAGAAATGGAAAGAAAGCTGAGGAGGAGGCAAGGGAGAGGAGAGGGGGGGAGTTGAGTACTGAAGTGAAGAATTTGAGAAGAGAAAAGGATGGGTGGGTGACGTTGAATGGCAGAGCAAGCATGTGCCTGGACATTGAGTGCTTCATCCCCTTGTCCTGGAAACGGTAGCTTCTCCTCTCCATCCCTCCTACCCCTCCCCCTCCTCCTCCTCCTCCTCCTCCTCCTCCTCCTCCTCCCTCGATTATCTACGACTTACTCTTCCCTTCACAGGAAAATCTTCTGTGACCTTGGCTTTCATCTTCCTCTTAACTTCACAGCGAGCGACGTCGGTCCTGCAGGAGGAATTCAGGTCACTACCGTCCTCTGCCTCCCCGCTCGCTTGTTCACATCCTCTCACCTCCTTCTCTCCGCTTGCCTGCTCAACCACACGCCCTCCTCCCCTGCCGCCCCTCCCCCCTCCTCCCGCCTCCCGCCTCCCGCCTCCCGCCTCCCTCCTCTCTCCCTCCTCTCTCCTCCCTCCCTCCTCCCTCCTCCTTTACTCACTCACTTCTGATTATTTGGCGTGCAGGAGATCGAGAAGGACACCTGCGAGCGCTACGTCCCGGATCGCATCATGCGCTTCACAGGCGATGCGTCGCCGGAGGATCCCTGGCCGGAGGTCCAGTAGAAGGAGGAGGCACGAAAGTTCAAACTCATGTGTATAAATTGTGTTGTACTTCTAGGAATCCCTCACCCTCCCTCTTCCCTTTCCCCTCTTCCCTTCTCCCTCTCCCATGCTCTTTTTTCGCTGCTCCTGCCACCCAACAATTCCTTCCTTCCTCCTCCTCCTCCTCCTCCTCCTCCTCCTCCTCCTCCTCGTCAACCACCACCAGCATCATTCGGCTTGCTAGAAGAGGGTGTAAGAGTACTCCATTTATTGCATGC